CACATGATTGAGTTGTAGCAAGTCGTGTTGATATATCAGGTCATTGTCACATGTCTGAGTGTCTTGTGGCTATGTACCATGTGATTAAATGGAAATGAATTGATTGAGAAATGATGTGTTATGATACATGTGAAACTATGTGTTAATGCATGTTTTAAGAAAACCTATTTTTCATACTCTTATGTTTATTTTAATTGATATATAATTGCATAGCGTAGGTTTATTTTAGTTACTAAGTGGCTAGATTCACCCCTCTTCTTTAATATTTTACAAGCTCTAACTCAAGTATAGAGAGGGAGAAACCTTTGGAGGAATAGGAATATGTGTATTTCTTGTGCATGCCTCTATGTTTTGTTTATTTTGTGTAATAAATCACATATTGTCAATTTGGATGCATTTTGCTTTTACACTTGCAGTATATAATGATTTATGACGTATGGATATATTTTGGGCCCTAATATGTGAATAATGAAAGGTTGTAAGTGTTCATAGGGTCAAAATAATAGTGCAAGTGTAAAATTGTTCATTTGATTACATTGGTGGATATTATGTTAAATTCCAATGCAAAATTACCTCCCACTTCTGTTTTTAGTATTAAAGGGGTTGAGGCGTGAAATTGTAATATATTAATGTAATTGTGCATGTGGTCTGTTGTACAAATAGTCTTAGGTCCAATGAATATGATCTGGGTGTTAGGATTTACTTTTGGCACTTATTTTAGATTTTGGACACCCTTTTGAGTGTGGAAGTTATAAAAAGTGATAAAAATACACTTAAGTGTCTAACTTTCTTGTATGACTCGTTTTGAAAGTGAAACCCATGTCATTAGTTAGTTTATAAAACAGGCTTTTCGTAGACACCTAAATCATGTCATTCGAATGTCGGATGGATAATCGGAGCACATCTAAAGTTGCCTGATTCTACTATCAAATGACAGCAAAGTTTACTGTCATTTGCCTGCAACATGCCATGGTGTATTGGCACCTGCATCACAACGTGTGGTATAAAGAATGACAAGCCATGACGCAATGTACATAAGCCATGGGGCACTATTCTGTTTTAGCAAAAATGATATTTTTTCAACTATTTTCAACTTCTTTCACTCCTTTGAAGTATCCCATACTTCTATAATTTGTTTTCACTCTAATTAAAGAGTTAACAAATGGATTTAACTGAATTTGAATTATGAAAACTTGAGATCTCTTTATTTTGAAATTATAACTTAGTAATCTCTTTAGGAGTTAATCTCTTGATTACTATAGTTTATGGTATTAATGGTGATTGGTTAAGGTAGATTTTACACTTTGCCTAATAACACCAAACTAAGAAAAGTGCTTTAGTTTCGGCTGCTTAAGTGTCAATTAGGACTAAAATGATGTTTAAGCCAACTCTTGGGATGGGATATAACTTGATGAATTGGCCGTCAAGAAGATATTTTGGAAATTTCAATTCATATCATTTTAGTTAGTTCATTGCCAATTTAAAACTTCAGTGCATCAAACTGCCGGGTTACATATATCAATTGCTTTTTTTTTTAATTGTGTAAAAAAGTCTTCCTTCAAAAAAGTAGATTGCATTTTTTAAAATTGTGTTGAAATCATACTGACATCTCATTTATTCTCAAATCATGTAAGTTGTTTTAAAGAAAAAATAACTATGTGATTCTTATATAATTTTAATTTAGTTACAATTCAATTTCCAAATTTTGATTCGGTATAACTTGATTATTATAGTTTTCACTTGTTTGAAACTCAATTTATGAAGTTAACTTAGTATAACTCATTCTTTATAATTTCATCCATAGAAAACATTACACCCTAAATTATAAAAGGGTAAATGTGAATTTTTATTTTTGAAATATTGGTCGATGAGTGCTTAGCACCTTAAACTATTTTTTGGGGCAATTTTACCTTAAAAGTAATTTTTTTTTACCAAATACCTTAAAAGTAATTAAAACAAAGTATTTTTACTCATATTATAAAATTCTCAATGTTAACCATTAGAAATATCAATTGGGACTCCAACGTTAATTGTTAAAAAATTTAACAGAAAGAGAAAAAATGCTTCATATTCATTACTTTATGGGCAAGATTGCTCCAACCAACAGTTTAGGGAATTGGGTGCACTCTTTCGAGAATATTTCAGGAACAAAAATACACATTTACCCATTATAAAAATAACTTTATTTTTTATAATTTTAGGTTCTAAAATGTAGGGGCCAACATTTTAAATTGTTAAAACCAGTGGTGTTAGAATCAGACAACCCCCTATAACTGGTGAAAACTAAACTAATCAAAACTGGTTAGAATTGGTAAAGTCGATGGAAAAACAATCGAAACCAGCTTTCATTTTTTTTAAAAAAATCCCAATAATTTAAAATTATGTTCTTTTGTGTTTTAATTTGTCTTTTGGTTGGTTTTTGTTATATATGATGATTTATTAATAATTTTAGTTAATAATAAAGGCTTATGTTGGTTTGATTAGACAATTATTATGGCATAGTTGATAATTTTTATTTTTTGTAATTGATAATAAACAATTTTATTGGTGCAACTAACTATAAATTTGATACTTATGATAAGAATGTAGTTAAATGTTGTCTAACATATTTTTATTTTTTATGCACAATTTGCAAATTTTATCATTTTAATTGAGATAGTCGAACCACAATTTGACCATATTTCAATAAACTAGTACCATGACTTATTTAATGCCCTATCTAATTCTAACAGTATCAGTAAAAACAATGGGAACTTAGTTGCACTGAATTAAAGTTTAGATATTGAGTTTCAATTCAATCAAAGTTTTAAAAAATGAACTATATTGAGTTAAAATTTAATAATTAAATTTTAATTAAATTAAAATTGTAAGGATAAAATGATTAGTTTATTTTTTTTCTAAAATAATAAAGCATCTTATATTTTGAACTTAATTGGTCGAGAGTGCATATTCATTGCAGTGAAAAGAGGGCTCTTAAATCCAATTGGACAATGATTCTCAAAGAATACATGTGTGTTTTTGTGTGTTGGGGTGTTGATAAAAACAATCATGCTAGCTTGGAGCCAGCTAGGGCCAGCACGTGGCTGTCGCACGAAAGAATGAACATACTTGAAAATTTGGAAGATTCTTCAACATGGGTTGAAAAGTCAACAAAGGAAACCAAATATTATTTTGGTATGATAAATGGTCTCCTTCACTTTATTCTCTAGTTATATATGCTTTCCCTATTGTTGATTATATTCTCCACACAAGAGTTTCAAACTTCACGCTAGAGGGTGGAACTTTGATCTCCTAAGACGGTATCTTGACTCTAATGTGATCAATCTTATTGGGCTTGTGTAACCTCTTAAGTGCAACCTCCTAATCCACAAGGAGACAATGACCTTCTTTATTGGAGGCCTTCTTTTGATGGTAACTTCTCCATCAAGTTTGCCTATAAAGTTATGGAAATTCAAAAGGACCAAAATTGCTCTGAAAAATGGTCTAAAATATGAAAATGGCCAAATTATAAAAAAATTAAACACTTTCTTCGAAAAGCTGCTTAAGATCATCTCCAAATCAAATACGCCCATAATAATGATAATACACCCCAAAAGTACACCTATTCTTTCAGAAGTTCCTCTCTTGATTCCTCTATCCATATCTTACAGGACTGTAAAAAAGCTCGTGTTATTTTGGGAAAAATTAGCTAATCCTAACAAGCTTAATACTTTATTCTCTTTGTGTGTGCAGAATTGGATAATTTGAAATGATAAAAATAAAGCAGGTAGCTTGAGTACAAGAAGAACAAATTGGAACAGACTCTTCGCTCTTGTATGTTGGAATATATGGAAGGCAAGATGCAACAAGATCTATTCAGAAAACAATACTTAAGAAAAAGACATTGCCTTCTCATGCATTTAACAGATTATTAATAATCTAAGGCTCCAGACTAAAATCAACCTTTTGACCAAAAGTAGTGCTAAAGATGAAGCTAAATGGAATTCTCTTGCACTTGGGTGGGTCAGGCTCGATATTGATGACTTTGTTAACATCAACGGGGGGCTGCTTGTAGGGGCATCATCAGAGATAATAAGGGCAATTGGATCAAGGGTTTCACAAGGAACCTTGGCTACCATCCCATGTCAACCGCTGAACTTATAGGGATTTTGGAGGGTCTCAATCTTTGTTAGAAAGTTAAATTCTCTAAAATTAACATCTACACAGATTCCATGGAAGCTTTGTCTCTCATCGAACACAATCAATCTGAAAGCCATCCCCTCTTAGAATATATCAAGATTAGAGACTTGATTATGAAAGACTAAAAAATCACCTTCGATTACATCTATAAGAAAGTAAATAAATGTGTCAATTTACTTGCTCATCAAATATCCCACAATAATTTTAATATTATGATCTCATATAATCTATCGCTTGATTGTATTAACCTTATAATTTTATATGCAACTTGACTTTAATCTCTTTACACGATTTTTTAATCATGAGATTGTACTAAAAAAATTTTTTTGGAAGATTCCCTTCTTTTCCCTTTGACAAATGCTGCAATTTTCTCTCGATTCACCGCACATTGTTTTTTTTTTTTTTTGCCCCAAAAAAAATACTGAAATGCTTTGTTGTCTGACACCTCACCACTTTTTACTGCCCTCCACATTTTATTGTACGGTATAGTACATTCCCACTGGCAGGTAATACGTCATTATAATTTATCACTATCAACTTTCTTTTTTTGCACCAACAATCAACTATGACTATCTACAAGATATCACGTGCTCACTCGTACACCAAATGAAAGGATTTCACATTTTCATGTCAACTTTCAACATGCGTTTATTTCTTGGATTCTTCGGGTCCATATGGATAGACCTGTGTTATGTTATTGGGGCCAAAAAAAAAAAAAATCCTTTACAGGACAGAACATCCATGTATTACGCTCTTACCTATACGCTACGTATAGTTTCCTATATCTTTTATAGCTACGTTGATATTGATGATTCCAAAAGTAAACTTACAATGTAAATATCTTTGATTTAGAGTTCTGAATTGTAATTCTCCAGAAAATTGATGGACAAGATGACCACTATCTCAGACTGCTCCACATTATAGGTTCCATACGTAATTGGTCCATAATTACATTTGTAAAGCCATTCTCCCAATAACAGGGAGTTAATCTATTGAATATGATAATTATTTACATTATTATTTGTAGATTTTGACTTCATTACACAATGCTGCATCTCACCACCATCCCCTTCTGATCAATTCTGCCATCGTCGTTGCCTGAAACACGTAACTCATCTGTCAGCTTTCTCATCCCATACAAGATGGAGATTAAGGAATCAATCTACAAACATAAGCTCATTCGAACTTTGTGCATAAATCAACAAGCATGGGTCAAGAGAGAGAATAAAGAGCAGCGAAACTATAAATATTAATCCTAATCCTAAAGCTCTTATGTCTACTTTAGCACTCAACATTGAAATTAGTCATTTTGATCCGTAAGTTTGACATGCCAACGTGTTCATGACCTTGCTTCATAGGTGAGCAATGAAAACAGTTAAGCAAAAGATAAAAAATGCTGGTTGCTTCTAAATTTTTAAAAACAATTAAATATTTTCAGACCAATTAATAAGCAATATCAATTTTCCAAATCTCAAATTCTGGCATTACTCCTCAGGAAATGCATTACATTATCTCAAGAAGAGACTCAAGAAACAGTCAAGATTCGCACTCCTCGATATTAAGCATTTAAGCTAAAGGAGAAGCAATCTAAAACCTCTCGTGTTAAACTACTCATAAGAATTAAGATATGAAATATTTAAATCCCACACCAAATAGTATAATATGAACTCCTCAATGAGATATTTAAGGGTGCCTTAAACCTCCAAGTTAACCAAAGTGAAGAAACTACAAGTTCATCAAAAGGATTCATACATTATAAAATAAGCAAAACATAGAAACATTTATCAAACGCATTAACAGTAAGATTTCCAGACCTTCAGGAGGCTGGGTTAGCTTCCGGTTTTGAGGAGACATCATTTCTTTCTTTAATTGCATCAATATGTCTTCCATTGTATGCTCCCGTTGCCAATTAGCGAGCATGGGAAATAAATGAGGCTCAACCTGATAATTAGCTATTTATAAGATCATTTTCAATCAGAGCAGCCTAAAAGAAGCTCTGAAAAAAAAAAATGCAATCCTACCACTCCAGTTTCTTGGCTGACACAAGTCATGTTAATCCTTGTCTGAAATCTAACGGAAGGTGGATTTTCAGGATAATCCTTGCCACAGAACAATTTCAACTGGTAAATACGCCCTTCATGCACAGTCTGTAAAGCAACAAATTGAACCAGGTAAACATTTCAACCTTGCAAGGTTGGGAATTGAAACCAGTTTCCATAGAAACAAAACCACAAAACAAAAACATGATATAGTCACGTGGAGGAAGAAAACTTGCACAGGACTGTACGACTGTAGTTCTAGAAGTGCAGCGCAAAAACCTCCCCCTCAGATTAACTAGAAAAGTCATCAGAATAGTAGGAACTAGGAACTCACTTCAACACATCTTTATATCATTTTGATCAGCTAGGCACAGGAGATATAGACTGAATTCTTGGAAAAGACTCAAGATAACTACTTCAGAAACTTTGTGATAGGATAGAAGGGGCGAGAGAAAGAATAGAAACAGAAAATAGGGAAGAGAGAGGAAGAAAACAAAATAGAAACAGAGAAATAGGATAGAGACAGAGAGAGGGAGAGAGAGGGAGAGGCGGAAATGTTTCTAGGATTTTTCATTAGGCATAATATCTAACTACTACACTTAGGATCTTATATATAGACCCTTATAGCAAATCTTAACAACTAACTCCTTGACTAACTAAAACTATTTAATCTTTCTATTGCTACATTCTTTACATATCAATACCCTCCCCTCAAAAACCCTTGACCTCAAGGACGCGGCATTTGAACCCTTTGATGAAAAAAACTGGAAAAGGAAAAAACAAATAGAACCAGCAAACCAGTACCTTGCTTATAGAGAAAACTCCTTTCCTCCACCAAAAGATCTCTATTTTTCTAATCATTGTCCAGTATCTTCACTTTCTTCTACAATGTCAGTTTGAAGTTCAATAAATTGGATCTGCATCTGCTGATTCGGTGAACATCTATGGCCTTTGAAGAAGGGTTTGTGGCAATAAAAACAAAGATTCTTTGACCTAAGACCATCAACTTCTTCTGGGTTCAGCGTTTTTGTAACCTTTGCATTAGTTGATGAAGAAAGACCCCCTGAAGATGAAGGAACAGAGGAGACGGAAGGAACAGAGTGGGACTCGTGCAAAAAGACATTTTTGCCTTTAATGAAATTGGACCCACTTTCTCCAGCTGCCAATTTCACCTGCAACGCGTGTGGAGAAGGACCTCAAAGACCAGCCCAAGATGATTCATCTCCCTTACTTCATCAGATGCCTTTATTGAGACCTTGTTTTCATCAGATGCCTTTGTCAAATGTATTTCCTGCAACAGAAGCTGAGCATCCTGGAGGGTCATTGGCTTCAGTAAACGAACAGGTCCAGAAAATCTTTCTTGTAAGCCTTCAAGATAGGTCTGCACCAGATAGTCTTCTGGCAGATCAAGCTTGCACATCATCTCATCAAAAGAGTCATCATAGTTGCCAAGAGCCCTTGTTTGTCGTAGGTACATCAATTCGGCCATGCGTGCCTCATAGGTAGTCCAAGCCTTTTCTTTATAGCTTCTGCATATTCTTCCCACCCACTACTCGTCCCCTTCTGGCACACATGAGGGCTTGATGCCATTGGGCCTTCTCATCTAGGTGAGTGCTGGCCATCATGACTTTCCATGCTTCAGGGGTGGCATCTATCTGAAAATATTGCTCACACTTCATAAGCCACCTAAGAACATCCCCTCTCCAAAATCTTGGGAATTCCATCTGGTAAATTTGGTCAAAGGTTGATATTCTCGCTGGTCCTTTCTTGGCTTCTGGCAGCCACCCCCACCATTGTTGTTTGAACCCCCATTGGAGTGCAATTTATCCACTTTACACAAGTTGGGCTATCTAAGCCATGAGTGCCTCAATCGGGGTTTCAACAGTACGTAAACGTTCATCTGTTTGATCTGCCATCTTCTTTAATGCTGTATAGGAGCATGTTTCGGGCATAAAAGGTAGGAAAGGTAGGCTTTGATACCACTGATAGGATAGAAGGGGCAAGAGAAAGAATAGAAACAGAAAATAGAGAAGAGAGGGGAAGAATACAGAATGGAAACAGACAAATATGATAGAGAAACAGAGAGAGACGGAAATATTTCTAGGGTTTTTCAGTAAGCATAGCATCTACTTACTTAGGACCTTATATGATGGGACCTTACTTAAACCCTTAAAGCAAATCTTAACAACTAACTCCCTATCTAGCTAAAACTATTTAATCTTTATATTTCTTTATTCTTTACATACCACTTTAAAACAAGTGACAGAACTGGAGCCATTTTGTTCATCAACACATGATCAGTTACCAAAAGGAATGACAAAAATAAACCATTTTATAACAAGTTCATAATACATAATATTCCATCCTGATTTGTAATTGTAATTATTTTCATATACCATCTGCCTGCTCTAACCCCTATTAGCCATCTTGGAGTAACATAAATGCCTAACATGCTAAAAAAAATCAGTTATAAAGTCTTTTGGCTCAAAAAGAACCTACTCCCAGAAAAATAAAGCCAGCACAACCACCACCATAACTCCATAACTGCTTTCACCTCAGTTAACAATTACAGAGAATGGATCTCTTCAATGTACAATAGAAAATTTTTTAAGTTCTGAACAGGCGTTTCCCTCAACAAATAGCAACCAGGATCTATACTCTATCAGTCTATGTTATATATAGCAGAGGTTAGAATTATCATCTTTAAAACATAAAAGCAAAGAGGATTGAACCTTAGAGTTAACTAGCAAACTGTTTAAGCCTGTCAGCGCTAGTCCAATCTAGTCTCTTGATGAGTAAAATTAAGACGCAAAATTTGGAATATAATCGCTTATAGGATGAAAAAGTAGAAAGAAAAACAAATAGAATGTATAAAACTAAGAGGCCCCTTCTTCACCAAGAGCGGGCAACGTATTGCAGTTAGACAGCTTGTCATAAGTCTAACTCTATCACTCAAGCAGAAACAAAGCACTCTATAAAAAGAACTTAGGAGATACCAAAGATGGTGATTTATATGTTCAAACAAAAAGCAGTACTCTAAGTGAACCACAAACATTTCCTCAATGAGCTGCACATACCATGATCTGGCATTAATACAATGTGCTACTTTGCATGCCCAACCCATAATATGGAGAATTGGCATTTATATTCTCAAAAAGATGGTGACACTTGAAAAAAAAAATTGGAGATCGATCAGCAATAAAATTAACTTACACCAGGGGGGCCAATAATAGTTCCAGTCCATGATTGCATGAATATATCATCAGCATCATCCATTCCATAGCTGACAGTCCCATCTCCAATCCCCTTTTCACCTCTCTCAAGCTCTTCCAATAATCTGAAATTTCTAGGCACTGCATATACCCAAATATTTGACCAGATAAGTGAAATTCACAGGTATACTTTCCAGCAAAAACATAGAAAACCTGAGATTGTGTATTGACTAGCAAGTATACTAATTGACAACTTAAGCTTAAAAGTTAAAAAAATAGGAAGAAATAAATTGGAAGACTACAACAACATGATGTCTTATCCCACTAGGCAGAGTCAACTACATAGATTGCATGATGCCACTGTGCTTCATCAGTAGTATAGTAACTAAGCCTTTGGTTGCATTTAACAGATTCCAACTACACATTTGGTCACCTTATAAATTCATCAACTGAAAAATCTTAACATACTGTGAGCATAGGCTAATGATGGGAAAGGCTTTATGTAATTATTGTAAGTTGCAGGTGGCAACAGATAAATTAATTAGAAAAGGATTTCCACTGCTGGGGAGTTTTGTCCCTAGATAGACAACCATAGTACTTGCATAAGAAAATGGGGGGAAATTACCAGAAGGTCATTTCCCAAGAAACACACAAAACTAAGATCAAACTACAAGCTCCACAAAGAATCGCAATATAGAATGCCAAATTCACAAAATAATAAAGTTGAACACACATCACTTGATATTACATAGCATCCATATTAAGAGGGACGAAAAGTAATTTAAACATCCAAAATGTACAAAGATTGATTGCAGAAAATACCAAATTCATACATGACACAATATTACATAGCATCCATATTGAGTTTTTGCAGGTAAGACACAGCAGAAACTAAATATTATTATTCGATAGTAGTAAATCATAAGATTTGGGATACAATTAGGTTTAACAATAAGTTAATCTTTTTAAGGCATCAGACCACGACTCAGGCCGGTTTCAGATTTTGGTAAGACCGATTTAATTAGAATTCCTAACAAGACATCAAATGCCGGAAGCACTACGACCTAAGCAATATCACGATGGGCAGCAAGCTTTTTGAATATTCGAAATACCGTAGCAATTCCCACTCCGGCAATCAGTTTCTATCAGTACAACTGACCAAGGCCTGGATGCAACGACTTAATTTACATGCTTAACAGAACAAACCAAACAAAATAAAAACTGAATCTCCATAAGGAAACCAAGCACAGTTTATTCACAAGAAAGAAAACAAAGGAAAACGAACGACAAAAACGTCAATAAATCTAGGTCTTAAAAAACTCACCAACGACCCTTGATGATCCTTCGGAACCCATGTTGCCGCTGATCGCGCGCACACAAAAGGTCTAGGGTTTTGCTAATCCCAGAGAGAGAAAAAGAGCAATTTTGTGCAAGAGATAGCGAAGGGGAGAGAAAGACCGCGTTGATGATCACTGTAGACCAACACACTTCACCTACTGTTGGGCAAAGTCGAGGAAGGAGGTTTACACGTAACGCATGGAAAAGTAGAAAACGAAGGACTGATAAATGGGCGTTGGATTCGGGGATACGTGATTACCTGCGGACACTACCGTTGTTTTACCATGGACTACAAGATTTGGCCAATCAGAAGCGGTTTTCAAGATTGGGAAAATTCTTGCTTGCCCTAAACTCAAACCCAGGGGTCAAGATTTGGTCTTTTGGATAATCAATACTCACTTCACCAATAATAATAATAATAATAATAATAATAATAAACAAATGTAAACTTAAGAGATGTCATCTTGGTTGTATGAGATACTCGATAGAATAAGTGGATAACATTAAATGGATAATTTGATAAGATTTGATAATTTTTTGATATTATACAATTTTTGGTATGTTACTGATGTATTTAAAAAATTGCTTGACCATAATAGTGAATGAAAAATAAAAAATAATTTATTTTTATAAATGTTATTTTTTTATAATAGAAGAGTAGCAAAATCAAGGGTGTTTAACTTGTATCAATCTCAATTAATCTGGTTTTATCTCGATTATATCAGAACGGGTCTTGTCTCAACTCGAAAACAGTTAAGATAAGACAGAAAAGGAGTTCAGGATGTGATAAAATACAAGAGTTCCCTTAGAACATCCCTTCCCATTCCAAATAATATATATATTATTTTTATTTTAAAAATATATATTAAATATATTAATTATATTAATACAATTTATACTTATATTAATTATATCAATTATAATTTATATTGATAATTTTAATGACATAGAGTAAGTAATATAAGGTAATATCTTTTTTTATAATATATCAATTATATTAATATAATTTATTCCTATATCTATCTATTTAATAACTTTTGTTTATATTGTATTTCTTGCTTTATTTTTAAAAGAATAATTAGCTTAGTATATCTCAATTAAAAAAGAACAATGATTGAATGTTGTGCCTGATTTGTTCGTTGTTGTGGCTCTTATAGCCTAAAGATTAATTATAATTGCTATCATAATGTGTCATATACTTATAGTTGTAGTTGTAATTAATATAATTTAATAATTGACTTTAAATTATTATTATTTATGCACTCATGTTATTTTAATTTTAAACTTAATAAATTATGTGATTTAAAATTTTATTGAATGTTATTATTCAAACTTTTCTCCCACATTGTTCAATTTATCGAGATAGCAGGACACCTCAATTTCGCCCGAGTCTCATCTCAATTTTTAAAAAGATGGGATGACTTTTTAAAACAGGATAAGACACAAGATAAAAATTCAGTTCTGATCTTTTTTTTTGGAACGAGACAAGAGACAAGGGTATCTCGATGCCATTTTGTGAACACTTGTGAGCAAAGCTATCTAAACCAATCCCATACAAGCCTTATCAAGCATATTAAAATTAATGAAACTAGTAAGCTTAGTCGGAGGAGAAGAAATCAACTGCAACATAAGAACCATAGTAAATCTTTATTTGACAAGCCAATCCACTGCTCTATTCAATTCATGTTGAACCTGTTGCAGCTGGATCTCCCATTCATGACTACATAATTGATGAATCTCCAGTGGCAACTTGTGATCTTGGTGTTCAATATTAGGTTCTGCATGAGTCAATTCCACCGCTTTTAGAAAATATAATTCCAGAATTAATCATTTGAAGCTCATGTCCCATACCATCTTAAGACCTATCAAATAAACCCATAATTCAATAGTCACGTCGTCTCCACCCTTCAGATGATAGATAAACCCATAAATAAATTGTCCATATGCTATTTTCATTGCATGAAAAAAAGAAAGAAAAAGATTTTGATGATTTTCAAGTTTCACAATGAGCTTAGTGAGTTAATTATTGATGTTACAGGTCAACTGAAGAATTTAATACCCAATTATCCAAACATTGTTTTCGTACAAGTCGAATATTTTGGAACCCGACAAAAAGCAATCTATTAAGTTTAAGAGTCTCGTCTCATTCAATGATACGTACAAGTGTTTGACCTTGTGCTTGTCAAGCGTCACATCACTCTTACCAAAGTCTAATAAATAATAGCCTACAACATGGCGTCGACAGACTCCATTGATGAAACGACTCGAGGTAAAGTGACAAAAAGGGCTCATCCTTATCAGACCAGTGTAAAATATTAGAGATAATGTTGGCAAAGCAATATTATCATGTTAATCACAAATGCTAAGCAAGTCTTCATGCCTTCTCAGCTTCCGAGAAAAAAGTGCAAGCATTTTTAGACAGCGCCTTTTCTTTTTTTCAACGTACATGGAATTTTTTTTTTTTAAAAAAAACAGTTTTTTAACGTGAAGATAGAACTGAAAGGGGGGAGATTCTTTTTTAAATGTAAATCTTAGTGGAGCATATTGAAGCGAGAGAAGGAAATTTTGACGTTAGCCCATGGCTAATATTCATATATCGAGTTCTAACTTCACATCAAAATTCTATGGCTAATATTCATATGCTGCTCTTGATTTGCCGGTTAAAAAAATATATTGATATTGATTAGCCATCTAAAATTGCAGCCACAATCCCCTATAATATGAATCTGAGTGCTCAGGCTTGTGCACAATTTGAAAATTACAGAAATAAATATCGCCTAGTTCCAACCCATGAATTGCATCAAAATTGTCCCCTTTTCCTTTTCACGATTTTCACTTGGGGCATGATCAAATAGGCAAATGCACAGACATCAATCAGCAGCTACAATCAATCTCCATGGATGGTATAACGTTCCCATTTCTTTGTTGGGTCATATATCTGCAATAGATATTATATACCAAAAAAGAAAGACATCAGAAGATGCTTTGACACCAATAAAAAGAACGCTGATCTAAGCAGTTAAAAGCATCCTAATGAATTGACAGAACACGAATATGACAGCATTCAACATGATGCGACACTTGAAACTATACACGGAAACTTGGGATTTTATCATGTATAAAAGTCCATGCTTTTTAGCTCTGGTAAAAGTACCTCCCATCTTGAAGCAGGAAATATATGCTTGTTCTTTTCGTACCAGTGCCTTTCTACAACTTTTCCGGCATGAGACTGTTTGCAAAGAACCATAGTAAAATGATTAAGCCAGAAGAGAAGACAAATGGAATAGAAAACCCAATCACCCACATGCATACACATGTAATTCCTGATATGGTAAAAATGAAAATTCAAATATCCCTTTCTTTTCCCTTTTTGTTTTTAGCAACACAACTAAGGCCGCGTCCAAACAAAGAATTATTACCTCCAACTTTTATAACATATACAAGTATTTAAGAGTGATACTGTGATCAGAATTAGCTATCCGTCCCTTTCTATTGAACCCAAGAAAATAAAAACTATCCTTTTATGTTCAGATAGAAGTCAGCAATGCATTTTTGCATTCGTGAAACAACTAATTTCAAGATTATCTCCCCCCGCCCCTTTTTTAATGGTTTATGTCCTTATGAGCTACACAACATGCTGATCTTTCAAGTCTCAACCAAACGACATCAGTTTGTATTCCCATAGATCGTAGTTTGAGAAGAGCTGAAGCCAAAATAGTTAAAAATAACATTAACTTCATTAAACTTCAATCACTTGCAAGGTAGCCAAAATATAGTGCAAAAGTTTCTTTTGATAACTCTAGCAACAATTCTATTAATGAATAATTTTGCTAAACTAAAACATAAGCATATAAGAAAACTCCATATTCTTCCAAAACCTCATATAACATTAGGAAGAGATCTCAGGGAGGTGAATGGTAATGGCTGGGGAATTAGGTGAATGGTGATGGCTGAGGAATTAGAAGGTTTGCTAATAAACAAGACCAAATAATCTCATTAACAGATTTAAACACTATTATGATTTCTGCAAACTGATAAAGGGAAATACAAATCAGAGAATAAACTGGGGAGAGTAAACAATATCAAGATGAAATAAAAAAGCCCAGTCATTATGACATTAAATTCCAAAATAGTAGCAATAATATTAAGGAAGAAAAACCTACCTCATCCTTCTCTATTGTTGCATCAGCAATTGTTCGGACATCCTCATGCACATCAAAGTGGAAAAGCTGTATGGAATATATCACATAGAAATAATTAGCAAACTCAATTTGACATTGCAAATCATTATAAAACGCTAATAAATTATTTTCAAATTTAAGATGGCATGCAGTTAATAGTTAGGGCTGATAAGCACATAAGAGATAACAACCATCCGCCAAGCTCATATAGACTATAAAGCAAAAGCCAACATTTATCACAGGGTAAACCCACGTAAAGTTTCAGTCTCTCAAATTCATTAACTATGAAAGTTTCTGCCCCAGAAGTCAGAACGAACAGAACATAATCTTAATCAATTAATAGTTAAAACCAGAACACCAAAAATTGTCATTTAAACCATGTTTTAATCAGTTCATTGAATTGACATGCAATATGAGGCTTTACCAACCATTGCTGCTTTTGAGAAAAGAAAATTTCTTCAAGGAAATAAAAGAATACAAGGTCTGAATCATCTCTTTTTATCGGTCTATCTTTCATATGGTGTATCTCCTTCTATTCATTTATCATCTCGTTTTCCTCCTACCTCCATCAGCTGAGAACCTCTATCCTAGATATAGCAATTTTGAGATATATTTTCTTATGCATCAGCAAAAGAAAAAGAGGAATTCATTAATTATATTTATTTTTAGAAAAACCATTTAGAAATGGATTAGTAATGTATGAGGGTCCTCCAACAAGAGAAAAAGTCTGAACTAAAAGCAAAAAAGAAGGCAAACATACAGGTCCACTTTTGCCTCGAGCCTTGTTTACGATCAACTCATAAAAGCTGTGTTGCTGGGACATGAAAATAAATTTAATAAGTTAGCACATACCATTTGATAGGATCCAAGATAGGCAGACAGAACTAAGAAAAAAATCTTTATTAAAATATGAAATTAGAATCTAACTTTATCAATTGATAAAGATAAAGGAAAATTTTTTATAGAAGATGTGCAGGAATCTTAAACTCATACAACTAATAAAGCCAAAGGAGAATCTCCATTGATAAAAATAATGATTGCATTTCCAGATGATTTCTACATGTTGTGCCTCAATATTTATAGATAGAAAAATAAATAATAGTTCTTAAAAATACTCCACTAATCCATAACTCAGATAATGGGGCATAACTACCTGAAAAATAAATAAATAAATAAAATGACTAACATAATCTACAATACCCTCTACTTCTACATTTAAGGATCACTCAACAAAACAGAAAAATAATCTAAAAAATATTATTTAACAGATAATATGATATAGAAAATAGAAAAGAAAGTAGAAGAGAGATAGAGAAGTAGAGAAGAATTGAGAAAGAAAGAGAAAGAACAGAAGAGATAGAGAGAACCAGAGAGAGATCCAGAAGAGAGAATAGAGATCAATCTGAATAGTGCTAGTTCATTCTGTCAATAGGCTAGTAATGAGAAGGCAATCCTAATATTTATAGGATTCTAGGAAATGATAAGTAACATCATTAAAAGACAGCTAAATGACTTAACTACCCTTAACAGTCAATAACCATCTAAATGACATATACTTTTATTATTTTTGTATCATAGTATCTAAAATAACTTGAAAATAATAACTGCCCCTAAAATTTCTGTAACTTCCCCACATCACCCATTATCTCATGGTACTCGGTACTCTATCACCATTTTACCCAGAGGAAAAATAAGAAGCAAGATATCCTAAACAACTTAGATAGGAAGGATAGCAGGTTGTTCTATTAGTCACAGTCTAAGGCACACGTTCTTACATGGGGAATAATAAGATCTTCTTTCACATAAAGCAAATTTTCCACTGAAGTTGTTCGAATCTCACGAAACTCAGGGGCCAATTGTTGCTGGACAGCACGAAGAAACTCTCCAATTGTATCACCCTTTCGTACCTTAATAAAATAAAATAAAATGCTTCAGATACCAAGGCATTTATAATGAATTAAATGTAAATTCTGGAATTATTAGAAAAGAAAAATTCAAGCTGATAGCCTTTGCTTGCCTGGATCACACGCCTATGGCCAGCTCCATCCCAGTAGCTGTACGTAATTTCAAGAGGTTCATCTGAAATACAAGAACTGAGTTACACAAGACTCATCCTCTAACTTGATTATATTCCATAAGTTGACTTTTCACACTTCATTACTTTTAGTTATTGTAAAATTTAAAAGGTGTAAACAAGTTTGCAGACTCACTTCGTATCTGTTCTTGCTCATGAAGCCATTGTTTCCGCAGCCTTTCACGTTCTGCTTGTTCCTCAGCCTCTCGCTCACTGAAACAACATGATCCTATGCTCAGATGTTAGGGTCAGGGCCAACACTATAAAGAATGGATAGGAGAATTTGGGGAGGGTAAAGGAGAAAGAATGAGGGGAAAGGACAAGAGAAAGAGAGATGCAACACCTGTCAGGTAGAAAGCTAGTTTCAACAGTAGGGTCTTTACCAAGTTTACCACGCCTAAGTTTATTTGTTTCCGTAGTCTCTGCCAATCCCAAAAAGAAAATTGATGTTATTTTAAAAAAAAGGAAAAAGTACCAAATGACTCCATGGTGTCAAATATCCATATTCCATACATTTAGATGTTCACCAATATTTTTCTAAAATATCCAAATAGTCAATGTAAAACTTTGTTAAATCTCACATGGACATGGATCTAAATAGCCATTGGACTTCTGGCTTGCTGGTTAGGATATTATGGTTCCACTTATCAAGTCATTAGCTCAAGGCACCCCAAATTCACAAACCCTCTCAATAGAGACTTTTCTCCTAATTCTATTATTTCTACAAAACCAAGACAACTAGACAAGATCATAATTTCTAGGCATCAAAGGAATTCATTTAAGAAATGTTTTAAGTTATAAAGATTGTGGGAAATTGGAGACTTGAAAGTCTGCACATGCAAATCTGGACACATTCAGGTAAGTAACTTATACAATCAACAATCATCATGATATTCACTCCCTAAGTTAATGAAAATATTGAGCTCTTTTGAGATAGCTTTCTTTATTGCAATGAGATCTTGAAGGCTTTCTTCTTCATTCTTTAGCTCTCCCAAGTTCGACCCAAAGATTTGTCTAATTTGTAGACTACAGCCAACAATTCCTTTAAAGCAGCAGTCAATATTTTCTCTATCATCCCTAAACTGTTGCACAAGATTGTTCAAGCTAGTCTGGATATTTGGGTGCCTTACACCATGGTAAATTTCAAATCAATGTTTGTTACAAGGATCTTAATGTTCCAATTCAAAGAGGCAAATTTATTTGAAATACCCAAGAATACTCCAATTGATGATTATCATAAACTAAGGTTGGATGGGGTGAAAACCACGATGAAAAAGAGTTCTAAAAAATTTCTAGAGCATCTGATGGGTGCAGGCATGCATGGCACATGAAGTCCATGCACAGCAGCACAGGGAAGGTTGCTGGTGCATGATGATTGATGACACAAGAGAGTAGTGTACAGCAACATAATTCCAAAGATGGGCCAAGTGAATCCTTGCAGTTTGTGCGGCCAGTTTGTCATTTAGTGGTTCGGAGTGAGAGTTTCAGCACTGAAACAGGAGCAGTTTTGCAGTTTCCATCATTTCAATGATTACAAATTAATATATATTTCTAGAACAATTCTTCATGCAAAATCCATTTGAACCAGCCCTGAACTATTAACCAAATGCAAGCCTATCTTCCCTCGCTCTATAATAAATTCGTTATCATTTATGAAGAGCAAGGAGGCAATAATCTAACTCTTAATGGTAATAAAGCTGAGGACGACATCATCATAGAAGTTTAAGCTATTAGAGGGCCCATAAATGGCTTCAATACATGTAATAAAATAAAACTAGAATTTCCCAAATCCCCAATTTTAAACCCTAATTTGCAAATTACAGTTTTAAATAGTCTTTCTTCCCCCACTTATTCCTTATAACGTTTCTGCAGCAATACATGCATAATGAACAAAATGCTTTGATATGATGGCAAGGAAGAAAAGTGCAATCCAGAGCAGTGACATAAAACATCGTAACAGTGCCACTAAAATCTGAAAGGTAATCGGAGAAGTACAATGTTGTAGGAAAAACAACTTACTGTTTTCTGCTTCTTCCTCTTCACTGCCATTCTCAATATCCTCAGCAAAAGACAACCGAGAATTTCCCTTTATTTTCCTCTTCTTACGCTTTTCTAATTGAAGCTCTTCCTCCCTATATATTGGATATTGAATAGTAAACTATAAATTAAGAGAGATCGGACAATCTAATTGGGGAAGCGAAACACAATCTTGCTCACACAATAACAAAAGCAGTAATGGTAAAAGTCCGACGGAAATCGCTATATAGTTTTGTTATTTCTTTCTTTCTTTGTTTTTTTTTTTTTTGGGGGGGGGGGGAGTGGGAATAAGAGGGCGAGCAAAGCTCGATAATTTTGTTATTTCAACATCAGATGAATATAACTCGGCTTACTCTTGCTGTAGCTTCTGTAGCTTCTCTTTCTCTTCCTCCTCTATCTTGTTCCGAATATTAACCCTCTATATTACGAACAAGTCATTAAATTCATATTACTGAAGCATAAGCATAAACAAATCTTTTTAAAAAAATCCTAAGCTTCCATTACCTTCTCCACATACTGCTCTCTAGTCACTAGACCAACAGTCTCCTTTTTGAATGCAGTCTCAAGAATCTGAAAAAACCCATTGACGAAGAAAAGGGACTTCAGAAGTTTATTAGCGAAAATAAGATGAAACTAAATCACTAAAGATTCAAGGATTCAGACTCTGAGGCCGCAACCAATGCATCAAAAAGGGATACCCTCATTATCGTTGCATATCAAAAGAGAAAGCTCGTAGCCCGACAAATTAAAGAAATTTAGTGGAGGTAGGTTTCGAATTCAAACCTCAGAAGTGCTAGAACCGAATTGGAGAAGACCAGGCTGGCCTTTGGCGGAGGCCGACTTCGTTTTGAGCTCTTGGATTTTGCGGCGCTCGGCCTCTCTCTGTTTCTCGAGCCGTCGGATCCTGACGGCATCCTGGGCCGTGCCCACGTACCCGTCTCCCATTCCCGACATCCTTCCCTCTTTTTCGTCGTCTCAGCCGACCGCTTCCCCTCAACTTCCACCGGAACCAACAGCCACGATCACCCAAACGACCAACGCTCACGATGGAGGTGCAAAGCCGAAGTCGTAAATTATATATATATATTTATACGGGCGCTTAATCTTGAGAATGAGTATGTTAATAGAATTGTTAGAATTACTATTAATTTCTTATTAAAAAATTACTTGACATTTCCATATACTAAATAAAATTTAAAACATAAATAATTAATCATGTTTTTTTATAATTTATACTGATTTTACAATTAAGATTGATTAATAATGAATATTAATAATTAATATTAATCAATTATTAATTATTAATTAATTAAAGTTAAGGGTATGTTTGGCTTTTGTTTTATTTTTTATTTTTAAAAATTATTTTTAAGACAGTTTTTAAAATTATTTTTAAAATAAAATAAAATAAAAATTTATTTAATTATGTTAGTTAAAAAATAATTTTAAAATTAAAATAGTAACTAATAGTTATGGGTAGTTAATAGTATTGATTAATAATAAAAATTAATTAAAATAATTATAATTTTTAAAAATTAAATGTATAGTGTTTTAAAAATAACTAAATAAAAATAAAAATAACTTATTATTTTAAAAATAAAAAATAAAATGGTTGTAAAAATAATTAGATGAAAAATACTTTTTTAAAATAAAAATAATTTTTAAAAATAAAAATCCTGAATCACCATAACTTTAGATTAAATCAATTTTTTAGGTTAAAATTATAATTTGAAAAAAAATATTTAAACAGCACAAAATTTGTATAATTGATTAATAAGCCAAAATTACTTTTAAATAATAAGCTTTCGAGAGGCAGCTTTTCAATTTAATTTTACTGTTATAAATATTAATTATTTTCAGATAATCTTTTACTTGTCAATATTAATTTTATCAATATTATTATACGTATTTTTTTTATACATTATAAAGGAAAAATTAAATAGAGTATGATGATGCAAAAAAATTATCATATTTATTAATATTAATGCTTATCATCATTCATAATATTTTTATCAAATATGATCATATTTATAATACCATTATAGATCAACTGATATATTATTTTTTTTAATTATTATAAAATTAATTTTTAGTATTTAATATCTAAGAATTATATCCTTTTTTATTATTTTTTTAAATTTAAATTTATTGAATTATTTATTTGCACAAATTAAAATGTTCATATTAATATAATTTAAATTTTTATAATTAATTAAATATATAAATTAAATAATATACTTTACTTCTTAAATAAAATTTAATAAATTTATTAATATTATATATAATTTTATTAGTAATTTAATTTTTAAAAATAATGTTCTCTATATTAATTCATACACTTAAAATGAATTTAAACTAAATTATTAAAATATTTTTAATTTTATTAAAATTAATTTAAAATAAATATATCATAATTAATTATAATTAAAATTAATTAGATTTTTATAATTAATTATCCCAGTCTAAATTCAAACTGCTCATTGACTTTTCTTTTTCGGTGTCTTGGTGAAGATCGAAGATAATCTCGCGGTGGCTGCACGAACGGCGTTGAAGATCCCTTTCCCGCTTGTTGTAGTACCTGCAGCGGCTTTGAAGGTCCAGCGAACGGCGAGTCTGACGCCATTAATGGTCGGAGTTGCTGCTTTTGCCTCATTCTGTCACTCATGTTGAACTGATCTATCGCTTTCGGTGGGGGGGGGGGGGATTCAGCTGCTCCCTTTGCTCGCTCTCTTTCACACTCATTATTTATCCCTTAATCTTGGGTTACCCTCTGGAATCTGAAGGACCCATTTAGCTTTCTAGGTTCCCGCAGGTACGATACCCGAGGCTAATCTATTTTGGTCGATTATTGGGGTACTTTCATGTAAAGGCACGAGAAACTTTGATACTGACTTGAATGGTTTTATAGCGAGGTTAATTCTGATAAAAATCTAACTTTTTTTTTTGTCTTTTTCTGCATTGGATGTGTTCCCATTGAAACTCAGCTTTCATGTTCCAGATGGATTATTGTTCCTGGTGGAAGCATGGACAATTTTGATCATTATAGTGGAAGCTTGTTCCTTTATCTGGGGCCCGGGTGAATTATATTTCCTGTTTGGTAATTCTTTTGTTTCCGAAATGGCAAATAACTTGCCAACTTTGACGGCACATAAAACCCTAGTATTGAACTCTGCATTACTGTCAAGGCTTCTTATCTTCACACTAATCATCATCTTCCGGCTTCTTGTTTCCCCCTATGATACCTCTGCACCATTAAATCCTGACTGCCTCACCAGATCCAACACTGAGCCTGGCAACGATTCTTCCCACCCACCTCTGCTTTGGCCTCGCTTGAGTTCTGCCATTGAGAATGGAATAGTTTGGGATTCTGTCTACTTTGTCCGCATTGCTCAGTGTGGCTATGAGTACGAGCAATCGTATGCCTTCTTACCCCTCCTTCCCATTTGCATTTACTTCGTGTCGCATACAGGTTTGAGAACATTCCTTTTCTGTTTACTAATTTGGTTTTAATTAGACATGGTTTCATTTGGATTCTGTATGACCTAAACTATTATCTAATTCGTTGCAGTGTTTGCCCCCTTAGTACCGTTTATTGGTGAAAGAGCTGTTCTGGCAGTGTCTGGCTATCTAATTAATAATGTCACATTTGTATTTGCAGCTCTTTACTTTTACAAGTGAGTTGTTTTAGCGTCAGGTCCTTCTTTTATCTATGCAGTATATATGATTTGACTTTGGTTCAAAAACCCATAATTCTAGATTGTTATCCTTTGACCACATGCAAGGTTCAGTAAATAAAAATGAAATCTAATTTAAAAATCAGAATGAAAGGGAATAATTGAATCAAGGGAGGTTTGCATGCCACTTTCCATGAGATGTATAAAACTCTCTAGGTATAGAAAAAATGAAATGGCAGTGACTTTACATCCATTGATTTGGTTGTTGGTTTAAAAAAAATGTTCATCCCTAATTCTCTAATATAATTTAACTGAAACCATGATGTTCCCTTGCAATTATCGGACATGTCTTAATCAACTTTTGAGCCTTTTAATGTCCTCAAAGTAGTGTTTCTTTCTTCCCTTTCTTCATGTTATTATTTTGTCATATCAATAGTAAGTGGACTATCTTTCAAGGCTTGCATTTCTTTGGGGATAATTTGACCTGAATTGTTTTGCCTAAGCCATTGCTATAATCCTAGAGCCAATGGCCTGTTCACTGTCATACTGCATGAGGTTGAGGTGCTGATGGTATATTAATTTCATTCATGATTCACTTTCTATGACAGTAGCAGGAATGCATTTACCTTTTCTAAAATATTTCTTTCCCCTTTTAATACGTTTTTGTGAAGTTTCATCTTTCTTTCTTTCTTTTTTTCCTTTTTTGTTTCCATATTAGAAATACCAGAAAAGTCGTAAGTTTTTTCCCCCCCTGAAATATGGACAAGTACTTCCTCCTAAGCAAAATTTAGAGGCAGAAAAGCTAAGCCTAAGTTCCAGATGTCCAGTTGATGTGTGATTGCACTGAAATCTGATGCTGAGTTTGCAATATTAGCCTGAGGTCTAGAAAAGGAAAGAAGGTTTACAATATGCCCTTGTGGATTTAAAAGAACCTCTTTTTTTTAATATAAACACCATCACTTTCTGTATAGCCTGGAAAACAAGTGTTAATGGAGTCTGGCAAAACTTATCATTGTAAATCCATTGACTGAAACACTCTCTTGACCTTACATTGATTGAAACCATGCCATTTATCTGTTTTTACGTTTGGGTACCCTAGCCATTAAATACCAATTCTATATTCAAAATTTTCCATCCAAACACAGAACTGATAATCAGACCACCTTGAACAATTAACAATCTATTCAGTGTTGAGATTACAAAATTGATGTAGAAACCCATTAATCAACCTTAAAGCTGTTTCTGGTTTTAGCTGATCATTACTAAAACAATTCTTATTTTGACAAAGCCTAATTCCATAGAGTGCTAAACTGACTCTTTCCTGAAATTCATCATCAAGATGCTCTTATAAATGAACCATCTCTGCAAAGATATTATTGAATCTGGCACACAGTTGATTGCAATCCCATAGATGAACTAAAATCTGATTGCTTGAGCAAAAGGCCACAAAAGAAATACATCACTAATGAATTCATCTTCAACTGAACAAGACAAACACGCTTCTTGAATATTAAGATGATGTCTGTGTGATGTTCATCAATTCATTTTTCTATATTTTGAGTTAATATCTAAGTTAACCGGCCTGTGTTATATTGCAAAATTCATGGTTATTGATTTTGTTAGTTGTAACTCCTGCAGGCTATCAACTACTATATTGAAGGACCCTGAAGCATCATTATTGGCTTCAATTTTATTCTGCTTCAATCCAGCCTCTATATTTTATTCATCAATGTAACCTTTTCATTCTTATATGTTATATTTAGCCTTGCTTGTCCTTTTATTGGTTAAAGTGATTATGTGTTTGCAATTGCAGATACACAGAAAGTTTGTATGCTTTTCTATCCTTTGGAGGATTATACCACTTGATCTCTGGTGGAAATAGTATGTCTGTTATTTTCCTCGCTCTCTCTGGTTCTGCAAGGTCAAATGGGGTTCTGAATGCTGGCTATTTTTGTTATCAGACAATGCATCGGGCATATGATGCTCTCTTTCAGAAAAGACAAGCTCATGTGAGTTTGTTCATTCTCCCTCCCTCTCCTCTTTTCTTTTATTCCTTTTATATTATGAGTAGCTCTATGGCTTACCTGTCTGAAAACTTTATGGAAGTATTGTTAAATGTGTTCATTACTCCACTTGCTGTGTCCAAGTTTGACTGACTTTTTTTTTTCTGTTTTAAAATTATTCCTTTACTTCACATGAATAGTAAGAAATGAGAGAAATAGGATGAAAAATCTCTTTATCCGGGAAATGTAGTTGGTGAATTTCTCTTGTTTATACTGTAGATTCATGTAACAGACCAAATGCAAATGTTTTGAATCAATAGAGCTGTATTATACTGGTATTTGATATGAAGGCTTAGTTTGGATGGAGGGAAAAGTGGGAAGAGAATAAAGGGGGGGACTAGGAGGAGAAATGTCCAAAAATAGTAAATTTTTTTTACTGTGTTTAGGAGTTTTCTCTCGTAGTTTTCCTTCCACCCTATTTTTCTCCTCATCCAAATGAAGGGGAAATGTGGATTTGATAATTTCTTTCTTTCTTTCTTTTTTGACCTGTGGTGATTGATTCATCTTCACTTAGATGTCCAACCCCTAGCATTCATAAACCTGTAATCCTGCAGGATTAGATCTGCATCTTCAGTGCATCATGAAATCTGAGAGTCATGATTATTGTTAACACGCTTTTTTTTCCTCCAGTTGGCATTACTGGCTGTCATTTCTGGAGCTTTTCGATGTGCATGTATTTTTGCTCCTTTTATAGCTTACCAAGCTTATGGATATCACAATATGTGTGTTGGGCGTTCTCATGATGAATTGAGGCCCTGGTGCAAGGCAAGGGTACCACTGCTTTACAAGTACATCCAGAGTCATTATTGGTACGTTTGCCTTCAATTTGTGCAAGTATTTTTAATCTGGATAATGAATTCATGTACTCTTAATTATACTCTGGCCTCCCTTTCCTAATATGTTAGAATACATGTGAATCTTTACTCTCTAAGAAATTGAAGAGGCTTTATATGCAGTGAATGAGAAAAAAGTCTGACATTTAAATAATCAAGTATTCGGTGTAATTGTCTATTTCTATTTGTTCAGGGGTGTAGGTTTCTTGAGATACTTTCAGTTGAAACAACTGCCCAACTTTCTGCTTGCATCACCTGTACTGTCTCTGGCATTTTGCTCAATTTATTATTATGCTAAGTCAAGGCCTCAAAACTTCTTTTTACTTGGGTTTCAAATTTCTAAGGAGGAAAAGAATTGTGGGGTTGTGTTTCTTTCAGATGCCACCTCAAGGTCAAATGTGGCCTCCACCTTGGAGACATCCTCTGTTAAGGTAGAAGGTATTACTCTCAAATGTTCAACTGGATGATTGGGTTTAACAATTTGATGTATAAAGCATATTTGGAAGTAACTATGATCCAAGGGATGGTTCTGTAGGATCCATTGACTTGGGATTCCCAATTGGCTTTACTTTGACAGTTTCTTATATAGTGGGCAAATTTATCAATTCACAAATGTGTTTCATCCATTTTCGTTTTAACTCACTTCATCCTCATTTGGTGATGTGCACAGTTGGAATTGGTGGTTACTTCTTTTTCATTTTGCGACATAAGCATGCATTATCTTGCACAGATAGACTAAGATAGCATTTGGATTTTAGATTTAAAATCTCACGCATAAAATTCTTTATTTAGATAGTTTAAAAAATTTGAAATGAAAAAGGAGATAAACTGATATTCAAAATGAAAATGACAATTTTTTTTCTATTTTTTAATTGACAAGGGATGAGAAAAGATAAAAGTATTAATAGTGAAAACGTGAAAAAAAAATATTTGAAATAATTGAAATTTTAAATGACTAAGATGCTAAGAGAATTTGGAATTATAGGGAATTATAATATGAAATGGATTTGGATTTGAACCAAATCAGGATTTGGTTCAAATCCAAATCCAAATTCTCATTAATCCAAACACACCATAATATTACTTGTTATACTTTACTACCAATATAACTATCGCTTAATTTCAACATTTTCAGCAACAGAAAATTTGAATCTTAGGAGGAGAAGGAACACACTCCAACGAGACAATGCTGATATTCACATAGAATCTGAACAGGCAGCTCAGCCAGGATACTTGTCTGCCTCTGTTCTGCCATTTGTATTACACATGGGATTTATGGCTGGCACAGCGTTTCTTGTCATGCATGTGCAGGTGAGTGTTAATGTTATTATCAACTTCTGCTTCTTGTTATAGGAACTGGACTTGCGAACGACCCAAAACTGTCGACATGTTCAAGTTTTGCTATTCATGTTTTTATGGAAACCTAGTCTTGAAATTAGTTTCTCATGGGACTCTGGGAATTCACATTAAACAGGTTGCCACCCGTTTCTTATCTGCCAATCCTCCTCTCTACTGGTTTGCTTCATATATGATGACATGGCATGCAAAAAATAGTATGTGGAGACGTATAATTTGGGCATACTCTGCAGCATATATTTTTCTTGGCTGTTTGCTATTCTCGAACTTCTATCCTTTCACTTAACGAGATATGCTATTGGTTGTACCTAAAAAGCGGAACATTTTACTTCAAGGACTGCGTAGAGTTGCTCAAAAATATTGTCATCTGTTGGTTTTTTGGCCCTTTGATGGTGGCTGTTTGAGTGATTCAAGAGCAGTAGCATTATACACTTTTTGTTGCATTTCGGGAAGTGATGGGGATGGAAAGAAGGAAAAGGGAAGGCTACTCCATATCTTTCTTTTAAAAGCCCAGCCAACTTGGCAACACAACGCTGGATCTACGGAACTCTCCTAGTTTGTGACTTTTTTTTTTTTTAAATTGTTTTTGGGAATTTGTTTCTTAGTGTGATTCAAGCTTGGACGCTTCAGTTCCAAGGATAACTTCTAGGGGAGCTTATCAGTAATATGGATGTAATGTTCTCTGGCTTGGGACGTAAGACATCCAAGAGATTGACAAGTTATCTTTGCGTAACAGGTTTACCAAGTCATGGAACAGAGTTGGCATTGCTATTTTGTTCTATTAAGCCAAGTAGATATCAAGTAAATTTTTGTATTTGTTTATTAGATGTAAATAAATCAATTTTTAGTGAGCCAGGATTTGGTTGCACCTGGTGGTGAGCTAGTTAACTTGTACCAAAAGCAAGAAGATACGCTTTCCCATCCCATTCTTGTTCCTTGCTTCTCTTTCTCATGTACCCAAATAAACCCAATATTGCCTTGCTCATCTCTCTAGTCACAAAGATATTCAAATTATTTGCATTATCTGAAATAATAGTAAATATAGGGCATTTGTAACTACTTTATAATTTTAAAAAAAATTATGTGAAATATTAATCTCTTAGAAAGTTTTATATCTTTTTAACTATATTCTCATTAAATATATTATGTAAGTGTTTTTCTAATAACAATTTAAATTTCAATACATTATTTTTTTAAAAAAAATAATAAATAAAGTAAGAGTGTATATAATTAAAAAATTATAAAAATTGTTTGATGTCTTGTATTTTTGGATTAAGCAGATTTTTTTTTTACAACACTGTATTTGGGGGTCGTGTGTACGGTACATTTAGATGAAAACAAGCAAAACTGTGCAAAGCTTGGTTTGGAAAGTAAGTGATGTTCACGTAATTGGCCTCTAGAAGAACCTTTTTCGGGTTTCCGGGCAGGGTCTCCAGAAGAACCCTTTTTGGGTTTATCGGACCAGGGTCTCAAGAACAACCGAAGAGGCAAAAACCAAGAAAACCAGGACAAGTCATCAATGTCTATTTCAAACTTTCCCCACTAAGTGGGGAAAAAAAAGAGGCCAAGCTAAAACAGTTATGTTTTTAACATAACCTTATATATTAATAAATATTTGTTATGATTAAAATCACATTAAATTATAATAATTTTTCAATTTTATTTCTAGTAATGTGAACTAATATCATGGTCAACACATAAGTAATATTTTCATTTTTTTTCAAGATAAGTGAAAAATTATTTAATTATTTAAAAATATTATCACTTTTTTTATATTTAATAACCAAATAAACTTTAAAAAATACTTGTGCAGGGAAACTGATAATTTGTCCCAGTCCCACTACGATTTATGAACACGTAACCCTGGCCACCCATGTATTTATCCCAAATTTTAATGTATTATAATTATAATGAAAATTTGAAATTTCTCACCCTGATGCTTAAACCAACCTTTTAGTAGTTTTTAAATTTTCTCTTGAAAAATAATACTAATAGTAACAAGTAAGAATTTGATAATTCCTGTTCTTTACAATTTTGTTTTAATAAAATAATAAATATTTAATTAATATATTCCCAAAGCAAATTGTCTTTTCCTAATCATACACGCAACTTCACTGTGCAAGTTCAACACGCCAACAGCTCCGAAAGTCCAAACTGCATTGCCGACTTCAATTTTCACGAACCTTGTTTCTTGTTTCTTCACCTTCTTCAATTTCCATGGCAACGACGTCATCTCCAATCACCGCCACCGGCGGCCATTCATCTCAGCCTTACGATCGAGCCAAAGCGGTCAAGGAGTTCGACGAATCCAAGGTCGGAGTAAAAGGCCTCGTCGACTCTGGCATCTGCACCCTCCCTCCTTTCTTCGTTTTCCCTCCCGAGTCCCGTTCCGATTTCAGACACTGTCCCGGAAGTGAGTCCCAAATCCCAACCGTCGACCTCTCCGGAATCGTCGAAAGCGACTCCTCCGAACGCCGGGCCTCCGTCGTGGACGAAATCCGGACCGCAGCCTCCACTGTGGGCTTCTTCCAGATCATCAACCACGGCATTCCCTTGGGAGTCCTGGACCGTACGATCGCCTCAGTCAAGGCGTTTCACGAGCAACCGATTGAGATCAAGGCGCAACTGTACCAGAGGGGGGCGACGACCGGCGTGAACTTCATATCGAACGTGGATTTGTACAGTTCACAAGCAGCGAGCTGGAGGGACACACTGCAGGTAAAGCTGAGCCCTCCCGTAGCTGATCGGAGCCTGATTCCAGAGGTGTGTAGGGCGGAGCTGATGGAGTGGAACCGGCAGATCGAATGGCTGGGAGAGTTGCTGATGGGATTACTGAGCGAAGGGCTGGGATTGAAGAGGGAGAGGTTGAAGGAGATGACGTTCAACGAGGGAAGAATGATGGTGGGACATTATTACCCGTTTTGCCCTCAGCCAGATCTGACGGTGGGGCTCAACACCCATGCGGATCCAGGGGCGTTGACGGTTCTTCTTCAGGACCACATCGGAGGATTGCAAGTTAGAAGCGGTGATGGCTGGATTGATGTCAAATCGCTCCCAGGTGCTTTGGTTATTAATATCGGGGATTTGCTTCAGGTACGAATCTTTCCTTTCCTTTGCTTTTCTTTCTTTCTCATTTTTTAATAGAATCTGGATAACCTTTTTTTGGTATATTAAAAAAGAGTACAAGTCAAGTCTTTAGGTCAGCATGGTTTTTATTATCATCTATCGCCTTTGTACGATAAGGTAGGGGTAATGAGTGATAAAAATAGCAAAAATAACTCGAGCAAACAAAAGCCTTGCTAATAGTCAAATGAATTTTTTAATGACAAATAATTTTTTTTAAATAAAAAATGATAATTTAATCATTTAAAATATAATAATACTTTTTAAGTTTTAAGAGATTTAATTATCATTAAAATTTAAAAGAATGATAAAATGGCTCCAAAATACTAATAAATACATGTTTGGATAAGTATTCAAATTGAGTTTTGGCACCCAAAACCTCAGTTGGATGTCAAAAGCTCATTAGGATGCTAAAAAATTTGTTTGGGTGAAAAAATATTGACACGGGCGTCGAGGACTAAATGCTTGTTCCAACTGTAAGTTAGGAAATTGAGCTGAGTTTCATTCTTTAACAAGACATTGCATCTTTCTCTTTTAGATGTTGTTACCTGTCATTGCCTTCTTCTTTGTTATCTTAACTCAAAATTTCAAGACTCAAGTTTATGAGTCCTTTCTCTTTATTATATATTAGTTATTAAATCTAATTTTATTCGATGTGGGACTTTTCACATCGTCTTATGTCTGCTCATATTTGGATAATCTAACAATCTCTTCCTCAAGTGTGAATCCACAAGTTTCTTATATCAAAGATGCCCTAAATACCAATTCTCTTATATTGCTAGGGCCAGCCCATTTTTCAGGCTTCAAATGGTGTGGCGCACACAAGTCCCCATTACAATTAAGGCCATCCCATTTTTGAGCTTTGGCTAACAAGTCTTGAACAAAACCTAGTTTTGATATCACTTGTTAAGAATGGAGAGCGATTGCTTGGGAACAGAGGGAGAGGAGAGAAGGCCAAGAGTAATAAAAAGACGTCACATCTTAACTCAAAACTTCAAGACTTAAGTTTATGAGTCTCGGGAGGCCGCTCCTTAAGTTTATGAAGTCCAAAATGGACTAGCCTTGATTGTAATAAGAACTTGTGTGCACCACATCGTTTGAAGCTAGAAAACTAGGCTAGCCCTAAAAAATAGGGACTTGGTGTTTAAGGTATCTTTGATGTGGGAGTTTGTGGACTCACACTTGAGAGAGAGATTGAGAGATTGTTAGATTGTCTAAGTGTGAGTGAACACAAGATGATGTGGAAAGTCCAACATCGAATAAAATTGAACTTAATAACTAATATATAATAAAAATGAAGGATCTATAAACTTAAACTTTGAGATTTTGAGTTAAGATATGATGTTTTTTCATTTTTCCTCCCCTCATTTTTGAGCAGTTGCTCTCAACTCCTAATAAAGGTTGTGGGTTCTACCAAGCCATGACCAAAGAAGCTCTTCAACCCCTGCTTCTTCTTTAACCCTTTTGTTACCCTCTTGCTGCTCTTACCTTCTTTAACCTTTGCCAATTGCAAGATTTGATTGTTTTCTCATCAAATTTGTTTGTTTTTTGATGGATTGATTAGAGAGAGGAGGTAGGGGAAGTCATGAATTCCTCAAGTCTATCTATTTATTTTTTTCGCTTCTTTTTGTTTTTTTGTTTTTTGGCCAAAAGATAAAAGCTTGATTCGACTTGATTTATCAGGGACCAAAGCCATTAAATTGATAAATTCTAAACTAATTTCCCAATACCCCTTTCTCGGTCCTTATACAGCACATACATACAATTAATTACTTGTAACCGATTTCTTAAAAAATTTAAAATATAAAATTTTATAATTCATCAATTTATTTTAATTTTTTTAGAATTGAATATTTTATAATTTATCAACTTATTCTATCTTTCTAAAATTGAAGATTTTGAATTTACCAATTCAATTTTTTTAAGGGTTATTCTTAAAAAAATTATAATTTAAAGTTTTATATTTTTCATTAAAAAGATTAAATTAGTCACAATATATATATATATATAATTCATATCTTTTTTTTTGTCATACAAATCTAAACTAGCTTTTGAATTATATCATTCAAATAAATTTCACCTTGTCAAACTAATTTTTTTAAAAGATTCAGCTTTTCATAATTGGGTATTTTAAATTTTATAATTTAATTCTACATTTTTTGAAAAAAATAATATTTTTGATTTATTAGCATTTTTAATACTTGTAACGAACTTTTTAAAAAAAATTTATTTTTTAGTTTAATTTTTTCTGAAAATATCAAATTAATTACAAAAATATATATAAAAAATAATATATATTTTTTGTGATCATACATCCTAATTGACTTTTGAATTAAATTATTCAAACAAATTTAAGTTTGTTCAACTGACTATTGAAAAAAAGATATTCAAATATAAATCATGTTAAAATCATGGACTTTTCTCCTAACCTCGGTTGACTTTAACTTCAGTTATGAATTTTTTAATCCAAACATACACTAATTCAACTTAAGTCTCAAGTGTCAAACTTTAAAAATTTATAAGTTTGGCTCTCAATTTTGCAATTTGATTGTGAAGAATTTGTAATTTGTGTTCAAAGTTTAATGAGAAAAATAAATTTATTTATTATTCAACCATGTTAAAATGTGATAAACAAGTTGTAAATTCATTACAAAATTAAGAGCTGAACTTGCAAGTTTTTAAAATTTGATACTTGAAATTTAAGTTGAATTAATTAATCTTTTTGGGACATTTTTGTCATTCTCCTTTAAAGTTTTCAATGAAATGATAAAAATATCCTTTAGTTCAATAATGACTAAAGTGGACTACTAATGTAAAACAAAGGAAGGATTAACTTAAGTATTGAAGTTTTAAGTTAAGATTATTCAGTTGTTCAAGTATGGGTGTACTTGAGTCAATATACAAGAAGAATAAAGTTTGACCTAATAATCAATATAAAATATAGGAGAAAGATGCCACGGTGAGACAAAAATAATTTGTAGGTCATCTTTGGGCATGATCTAGATTAAATTTGAGAAAAATGATAATTACGCATCCTATAAGAATATTAATGATAAATATAAATTTAAATATTGAAACCTCAATCATAGACAAGGGTCATTATTTATAATAAATTATTTTTTATTAATCGGCTTGAGATTCACAATAAACTTTAATAAATTCACAACTAACATAACAAAAAGATTTATAACTATCTTTTGTTGATTTTTCATGTGATGGTAAAAATTCACAAATGATTGGCTTATGATTTATAACTGATTTTTATAAATTTTCAACTAATGTTATAAATAATCTCAAGTATATTTAGTAAATTTTTCAAATGATTTATTTATATATATATATATATATATTGACAAGAAAAAAAAAGTGATGGAGATGTGATTTACAACTTAGCCTTGTAAATTTTGAACTAACATTATAAATAATCTCAAGTACATTTATTTTATTTTTTAAGTGGTTTATCTATATATTAATAGCAAAAAATCAAGATTTACAATTGATTCTCATAAATTTTTAATTGACATTACAGATAATTTCAAGTGTATTTAATAGTTTTGTCAACTAACTATTCGCATTTTTCTTGTTGCAAGTATGGACAATATTCTGTTATTAAAATTTTACTCTCTCTGTTTCAAATTATAAGACACTTTTAGATAAAATTTCACATGCCACTAAACCTCATTAAATATACTTAACAACTTTATCTTTCCAAAACACAAATATAAACTTTTAAAAATACCCATTATTTAATATATTGAGAAGAGAAGTGATGGAAATTAATTATAGAGAGAGAAATGATAATATTAGAATTGAAGCATTTAATAAAACCTTAATCTACTCAAAGTGTCTTATATTTTGAGACGAAAAAACTCCTTCAAAAGTATCTTATAATTTAAAACGGAAGGAGTAATAATTTAAGATATATAATTATATTTAATGTTCTTATAGAGTCATTAATTATCATTTCCTTTAAATTTGTCCTCTTTGGGCATGACACAGGCTTCCTCTGAACTTCCTTTGAAAGAATATAAATAACAAAAAATTCTATTCAAATTGATTCTTGAGAGAATGAAAGTGAATTTTGAAAATTTTAAATTAATGATAGTTAAGTTTTTGATAAAATTTCTTAAAAAATGAATTGTAAATATTAATTTAATGAATGCAAATCCAGTTATTTCAATTGTAGATAAGAGATGTATGTTTCAATTATAACTCTTAAATTGTATTTAAATGAGAATTGTTTGAATTGAAATTTGCTATTTATTTTTTTAAAATTTTATGAAAGACTTAATTGATATTAATTTGATATTTTGTGATGTCTTTGTCATTCTCCTTTGTTTTTTTACCAAAGCTGCACTCTCTCTTTCTCTTGGCTAGAAAGTGTGTTTCAGTTATAGCTATTAAATGGTATTTAAGATTTTCATTTATAATTGTTTAAATTGAAATTTATTATTTATTTTTTTTAAATTTTATGTGAGACGTAATTGTTATTAATTTAATATTTTTTCATTCTCCCTTGTTGTTTTTACCAAAGCGGCACCCTTTTTTTTTTTTGCGGCTAAAAAGTGTCTTTTAAGAAAAAAAGAAAAAAAAAAGTGATCTGTGCGACTTTAGTAAGGAAACATCTGTAAAATTTATTTCTTTTGAGAAAAGTATATTGCTTTTGAGCGTAGAGCAGAATTTTGTGTAATTTTAATGAACTTTAAAAGAAATTTACATTGACCTTGATGAGATGTAACCCGATATCCCAACAGATTTAAGTTGTAACTTGTCTTTATGGCTTCCAAGATGCTTCTACGCTAAGCAATCATGGCATGCTCTGAAGCTGTTAAAAGGGTTAATTAGCAGAGATTATATATAGCCTAAGGAACACTGAGCACAAGACACCATTATTGTCCAAATTTGGGATATGAACTCATCTTTGAGATGAGATTTGAATCGTCCAAGTTTCAGAGTTTCATTTTACTCTTATTTCCTTAGAGCAGTTGATCTGAATCACATGACTGCTAAAGGAGCTTCATAGAACCTGATGACTTTCCTGAACTCAGCTGAGGATGTGTGTGTGTATGAGAGAGAGAGAGAGAGAGAGCTATGTAAATAGGGAGTTAAAATGAAACACAGTCAAACCAATCCATATTCCTGTGTTTATGAGTCGTTCTTTTCTATGTACTATATGGAAAGAAAGAAGAACAAGAATGTGATACGATACAATGGCCTTCTTCCATTTTGGCATTATGTTTCTCAGATTGTTTCCAACGAGGAATACAAGAGTGCTCAACACAGAGTGTTGGCAAATAGTTCGAAGGAGCCACGCGTGTCAGTGGCAGTGTTCCTGAACCCAGGTGCTAGAGAGGATGTTTATGGGCCATTGCCGGAGCTGACATCTGCAGAGAACCCTCCCAAGTACAGGACCTTCACGTTGAACGAGTTCTTGACAAGGTTCTTCAAGAAGGAGCTGGATGGTAAATCTCTCACAAATTTCTTCAGGCTCTGAATCATCTACACAATGTTTGTGCGAATTCCAAAGCTTGTAAAATGTTATAGCACATGTATACCTGTGCTCCCCTCAATATTCATGAACTAATAATATATATACACATTTACAAAATCTATCTTTTTTATTAACACAATGTTATTCAAAAGGATCTTCAGGTGCAGAGCATCTTGTTCGACAAAAACACACATTTTTTCAGTTTTATCTAGGTATTAAAAATCAGAAGGTTATTGAATCAGTCAAAACGTTGATTTAAATATTAATGGTTTCATTTTGATTGAATAAGTTATAATTAATTAAATTACTATATTTTTAATCATATATTAATTATTCTAGATAAAAATGAGGATTCGTACAAATTGCAAAAAAAAAAATGAATTTTAGATAATAGTGTGTGGTTCTTTGATATGAGCTTTTTTAAAAAATGCTATTCAAAGAAACAAAACTGCTATTCAAAAAGCAAATTTTAAAGAACCACACAACCACCACCATAGGCTTAAGAACATTAGCGCCGACAAACACTATCACATTGGAAATCTGCAACTCCCAACCATACCGCCAAACATACCCCAACAAGACAACATGGGATCAATGCAGAGAAGCTAGAATCCACCACCAACTCAAATAGATCGAAGATAAAGAAACCAGAGGACTATAACTATATTGAGATGGATGAAGAGAGGCACCAAAACCCTAGATTCACAATCTAGCTTACAAACTTCCATTTGCAACATTAGAGCCTTCAAACTCATTGTCCCTCAACACTCCTTCCCCATCATTGCCATTGCACAAATTAATCCGCACCACCACTCACTCACCCAAACGAAAGCCTCAACCCTTGGGGTAATCAGCACCAGAAACCCAATTGATGGTAACACTCAAAGCCTCCCATACACGGAGAGGAGGGAGGAAGGGAGAGAGGTGGGGACGGAGCCCTAAAAAAAAACAAGAAGCAATATTTCCATAGTTTTAAAATATAAGGTATTTTTAATTGAATGAAGTAGTTACTTATTTTTAAACTAATACTATCTTTTTATATTTACCCTTATTAAACATTTTATAATAAATATAAAGTCACCATCAATAGAAGTACTTTAAAAAAAAGGCTATGATTATACCTTGAAAGACTAAAAATACCTTACATTTTTTAATAGTTAACTTCTCAAAAAATACCTTATATTTTTGAACGGAAGGGGTAAACTTTGTCCAAATATGAATATAATCTTCCCACATCCTTATCTTCAATTATAGCTCATCCTATACTTAATATACGATAAAGTTAACTAACTACACATTTATTAAAAAATAGTAGTTGTATCCTTAAAATTGTTAAAAAAAATTAATTTCCAAATTTAACTTTTTTATAACTAATAATAATAATTATAATAAAGTATTGTATATGACTTCGAATAAACAAGTGTTAAGATTGAAAAGAATAAAACATTAATTACTCTAACTTTATTTTATATTAAGTACAAAAAACAATTTCAAACTTTATCTTATGTTAAGGTCTAGAAGGTGTGCTAGTGTGGACTAATTCAAGAGATGCAAAGGAGCCGAAAACACGTAAATTGAACAAAGCAAAAACAAGTTGGATATCAATCTATACCAAGTCAACTCATTAAGAATTAAGTATTCTATTTATAAATCATTACAATATATTTCGTTGAAATAAAAAAATATTAAAATTTAATAACGACAACAACAATAAGAACAACCACATGTATTTGGAGTGTCGTGACATCCGCCATTTGGTAAACATGTAATCGATATGATTTTTTTTGGACTTTCTGATTTTCTTTGGACTTAATTGATATGATTTTTAACACCAAAACCCCATAGGGAGTGCAATTATTTTAAAAAAAAAACCTTAAATTGGGGCACGCTATTACTTGATACTAGTTATTTGTATAAAAAATTTTAATAGTGAAGACTAAATTATTTTTTTCACAAAAGATAATAACTAAATCAAGAATTTTGAAATCACAGATACTAGATAAAAATTAAGTAAACTTATAATTATAATACTTGGCAGTATCATTATGAAAAATTTTTGCATGAATCTAGTATACCATGTCATCCATATTATATTTAATAAAAATATGTCATGTCAGATAATTATAAATATAAATGGATTCTGTAATTGATAATGGTAAGATAAAAGAAAACAAGAAATTAAAGAGGTTCTTTATTTCAAAAATAATGACACATAATGTTTTATTTGATTGAATTGGTACAATTTGGCATTTTTTTTTTTTACTGGACAAAATATGGATAACGTGATATGCACAAGGTCCATTCAAGAATTTCTGTTATGATCTTTTAAAATAGTTAATTTTCTACGTTGGTATCCAAGAGTTGTCAAACTTATACTGAAAATGACAAATTCTCAACATTTACTACACAATAAAATAAGTATCGTCCAAGTTAGACATTATATAATTAAAATCGCCATGAATTATTTCAACGGCGTAAAAAGGAATTCAGATTTAAATAATTTTCACATCCAATAAAATCATTGTTAATTACATCGAACTCACAATAATACAACAATACGACGTGGAATGTTAATTGAAAGTGTCACAACCATGCGACGCATATCATCTTCCACACCCAGTTAATTTCAACGAACATGAGGTATTTTGAGTTGAAAAAGTGACACGATGGTACTATTCAACTAACGAAAGTATTTTTAATTCAGACGACAAGATATGTTTATTTCCAAGTAAAATAATAATAATAATAAAAAAGCTTAGAAAGCTTAGAAATGTAGTCTGTATATAAGTTTCAACCTGCTGCGTTATTCAAAGTAAACCAAAATAATTTGACCTTAGTTTTTTTTTTTTTGGCACTAAAAAGGCGCCCATTTTATTAATATCAGAAAAAAGATTACACACACTAATCAGAAATCAAAAACAAAGAAAAGCAATAAACCTAGATACAACCTAGAGAAAATGATCATATTATTGCACATAGAGCTGAGAATTTAAGTATGTATATGATCACATCAATACCATATAGTATAACGTAAATAATAAATAATTATATTTATAATTCTTGTCATTTCAACTTTTGTTAACGTGAATGATCGGACTCTCATTTCTTAAGTAAGCAGTTGACATTAAATTTCCCATTTTTGTGTTTTTCTTTTACCTTCCATAATTTATATATATATATATATATTCTATTTCTATTCATCATTTATTAATGAAAATGTATTTTATTACACTTATTCAATTTAATGTTGTAACTCTATATATCCTCGTCAAAATTAAATTGCAATTTTTGGTTGTGAAACAATAACTCCGATAGATGGTAAATAGAGAAGAGCCAGCATATATATGTTTTTTCCCTTCAAAAAGTCACGGTGTAATTATTTATTGTTTTATATTTCTCATAAATGAATAATTTGTCTTATTTTTATGAGAAAATTGGCCATTGGCTGGAATATAGTTGCTGCTTAAACCAATTTTTCAAAAATTTAGCAATATGACCGGTTCATATATTATATATATATATATATATATATCCATATATATCATTGATATACATCCGTGTGTCATTGATAGACAATCTTAATAACAAGATTTCAGAAAAATTTACAAAAGTTTTTATCTTTGATATACATTGTATTCAATGATTAATATTAAACCGGCCATAATGCAAAACATAAGAAATATTGTGGTATTATCTTGATTTGATCTTATAACATAGCCTATATATACAAAAGCCCATATTTTTATCTAAAAAGAATTAACAATTTCAAAAGTTAGGTTTTATGCGTATTTATATAACTGTATTCCTTCTCTTCTCTTGAATCTCTCATGTCTAAGATCATCCTAAATCCTAAATATTAAAAAAATTCCTTCCTCCATTTAAAAATATAAATTTTTTTAAGAAGTTGAACATTAAAACATGGAAAGCATTCTTAGTGTTTCAAAATATAATTGGTGTGCTTTTTTTTAAAAAAAATGCCCATAATAAATAAATTGCTTTCTGTTTATTTTAAAATAAAATACCATATTAAATAATGATAAATAATATGGAGAATTATGTTAACGTTCACACAAAAAAATTAATTATTATAACGTCCATTGACAACTAAACTAACGTCATTGAGAATTAATTGTGTTGTCAATGGCTTTAGTTCAATTATCAATAGATTTGTATGTAATTCTTTCTAAATAGTAGTATTTAGTATTTAGGAAAAGACATTATTAACTTCTTTGTTAGGGAATGAGATTCGGTTAAAAATACCTTATATTTTTTAATAGAGGGAGTAAGTTCTAATTATATTTTGATAAAAACCATTCAAATTTATATTAAAAAATTCCTGTTAAAAAAGGTTTGCACCAGGGCCGTCCTAATCAATCCAACAACAAAAAATTGCACGTTAACATAACTCATTTTCCTTATTTTAGAACAATTATAAATTAGTAAAACCACCTAAAAATACGAGTGGTGAAATCTATGTTGTGCCCATTTTCTACATGCACCGCATTACGTACAACAAAAAACACTAAATATTTTTTTGAAAAAAAGTGAAGTGAAACTTTTCATGCACATGCAATAGAGCTTAAAATTGGTTAAGTAATTAACTTAGCTTTTTTGTACTTAATTTATTTGAATGATGATGATGATCGATGATGATGAAGTTAGTTTAGAGTTAGCGGCTGAATTCAAATGCTGAAAAGTCTTGATACAAGTGAAACAGAGTAGAATTTGCATGCATGTGTGATATAATATATATATATATATATATATATAAAACAAGAATTAAAATTCAATTCAGATTCTATGTGAAAAGTTGGCTTTCTATGCATTCAATAAATAAATAAATAAGCCACAAAATTACCTTTTCCCTACATAAATCTTACGCACGGAATTCATTAAAAAAATATTTTTCTTGTTGACAAATCAATGAAAATATTGAATTGTTTATTTGTGAATGTAATCATTCAATTAGAAAATGTCTCAAAAAATTTTATGACTAGAGATTTTGTAACCAAAAATGTCATAGGCCAGGTGTATTTGAGATAATATAGATTCTTTTGATTATAAGTTCAAATTTAACCTTTCAATTAATAAGTACATAGTTCAAGATTTTTTTTAAGAAATAATAAAAAAAATTAACATATCATGTAAACACAGTACATGTACCATTTCTTTAGAACCATGTTTAACTTCTAAACAATTTTGAATATGGTGTAGATTAAGCACGGGGATTTTGTATGATTAAAATACGATCCAAAATAATAATTAGCATTTTCGGGGCGAAAATTAACAAAATCTGACAAAATTACATAGCTTCTTCATTTTACGTGTGGAATTGATAAATAACAATTCTAGTTGAATAATTAACTAATGTACTATTAATTATGAAAATGGCCGTCCAACCTTCAGTATATACCATTTAGATATGGTAAGTGCACAAATACATTTAGATATGGTAAGTACTAATTACGGCAATTTCATCCTTGCTTGAAAATTATTAAGAGATATTTATTTGCAAAAAATTCAAAATAATCCTCATCATTAGAGCATTCGTCAAAAACTACTCTCCTTTACAATCTAATTTGATTTGAGAGGTGAGATTTGATATTTTTTCTGATTATCATTTGAAAAAATCTCCAAAGAATCATTCGAGTTGTGGTGCGCACAGAATTCAAATCCTACTTCAGCGCCCCCATTATAAATAGCCTAAACTCGCAATGTAATAATCACACTCCAGCTCTCTCTGTCATCTCAATATTAACCACTGGATCATCTCTATCTTTCTTTCCTCTTCAATCCATTATGGCTCCACCTCCTGAAACCCATGATTCAAACCAAAACTATGACAGATCCAAAGAGGTGAAGCAATTTGATGAGTCCAAGGCCGGAGTTAAAGGCCTTGTTGACTCCGGCATCACCACCCTCCCTCCCATGTTCGTTAACCCACCGGAAGTCTTAGCCACCCTCAAACCCTCTCCCTTCACCGGAGCCGAAATACCCACCATCGACCTTGCCGGCATTCACTCCCCAGACCACCGTATCGCTGTGGTCGAGCAAGTGAAGCGTGCAGCCTCCACCGTGGGCTTCTTCCAGGTGATCAACCACAGTATCCCGGTTGAAGTCCTCGACGAGGCCATCACGGCCATGAAAGCCGTCCACCAGCTGCCGGCAGAGGTCAAGGCGCCGTTGTTTAAGAGAGATATAAAGGGGGTGTCACTCGTGTCCAACATGGACTTGTACCATTCTAAAGCTGCGTACTGGAGGGACACACTTCTGATACAGTTCGCGCCGGTTCCGATCAACCCGGAGGAGATCCCAGAGGTTTGTCGGAAGCGGCTGATTGATTATAACCAGAGAACTCTTCCGGTGAAGGACCTGTTGCTGGAATTGTTGAGTGAAGGGTTAGGGTTAAGCAGAGGGAAGTTTAAGGAGCTGACATTTGGAGAAGCGGTGACCCTGTCAGGTCACTACTACCCGTATTGCCCTCAGCCGGACCTCACGATCGGGTTCCGGTCGCATACCGACCCGGGAGTGTTGACTTTGCTGCTGCAAGACCACATGGGGGGGCTTCAGGTGAAGTACAAGGAAGGTTGGGTTGATGTCAAACCAGTCCGTGAAGCCCTAGTTGTCAACGTTGGAGATTTGCTTCAGGTATATTAAAATTAATTTGCTTTGTTACAGACAATAATTCTAAATGAAAATTTGGGTGCAGTTCATCAAAACAAATCCTGTGATATATTAATAATTAGTTATTAAAAAAATTAAACTTTCCCTCCTCTATATCTATATTTTTTCAAAAAGTTGTCGGATCTTACAAAATATAATATAACGATTTTCTTTGGTGATTTAATTTGACAGATAATATCGAATGAGAAATACAAGAGTGTGGATCATAGAGTTTTGGCGAGCAATGCTCGAGAGGCAAGAGTTTCAATAGCGACGTTCTTCAACCCAGGGGCTGCAGAGAGTGTGTACGGACCTCTGGAGGAGCTGACGTCAGCAGAGGACCCACCTCGTTTTCGACGTGTCACCTACAAGGATTACATGCACAAGTTCTTCAACAAGGAAGTGGATAACACGTCTCAGACTGACTACTTCAGGATAATCAAGACCCATGCATCGTAAATAACAGTAAACAATAAGATTTCGACTGCTTGACTTTGATCTGTCGCATGCTGTCAGGTTACATGCAAACAAATCAAAATTGGCTGTTGAAATGAAATTAAATTGAAAATCAAAGACTATACTGAATAGGAAGCTATAGTCGAGGTGGACTAGTCCTCCTATCCTTTTAATTTGTTTCTCTTTTCTTCACTTGAATAGTAATGCTTAGGGAGATCATCTACTAATTAAGTTAAATCATCAGTTAGTTATAATTTACAAATAAAATAAGTGTGGCTGCTTCTGTATTTTCGTGTGTATTGTAATTGATACGTGTTTGCCCTAAAGAAGGTAAACCTGCGTCGTGTAAACTTATATGCATACAAACTTTTGTACTGAAGTCTGCATAAGTTTGTATTGATGAAGAATTAATTAAATAAATAAACTTTTAGCTTATATATGTGTATCGATTTAGTCCTTAACACCTTTAAATGACCTTGACATGGCTAACCGAATGATGTTGCGACAGTCATGTAAATTAACAATGTGGGAAGCAATAATGCATACTTGGATATGAAAACAAATGCCACATTGATTAAATTAGGATTTATAAAATAGTAAAATCAATAACACCCCAATAATTAGGACTAGGAGACTTGACTTATGTGTATTAATTAATTCACGTGTATATTTCACATCGGCAACCTAATTTACACACCATTTTTTTAGGGAATAAATTGATAACTATTCTAAACTTCAGACAGATTTATAAAAGGTTTCTAGCCAGGTGACCTGAGAATAAATTAAGAGAAGCTTTTAGTTATATTCATGAATAAGAACTTTTTCAGAGAAAGTTATTGATTATTGTCGCACAAAACATTGGCCCTGTTTGGCAAACATGTAAAAAAAGTAAAAAAATAATAAATGAATAAATTACTCTCTAAAATTTACGTCGAACAATATTATAGATTTTGAACTAGTTTATTATATAAATTATTTTTTTACCTTTTGAAAAATGTGCAATCTAATTACTGTCTCTAATAAAAGTTAATTTTAACTATTAATTAATTAAAAAATAACAGATAAAGATTTCAAAAATTATAAAAAATAATCAAAAAATTATAATAAAGGAATCAAAAGTAACAAGATAAGGACTCAGGAAATTATACAAAATGACCAAAATTACAGAGAAAGAGCAATGATTTTTTTGAGTCTTTTTTATAATTTTTGAGATTTTATTTTATTTTTTAACTAATAGTAAAAATTAACTTTTGTTAATTATATGAGTTAAGTTGTACTATTTTTAAAAATTGAGAGAATAATTTACATAATAAAAGAATTCAAAATCAATGGTGTTAATAAACTTTAAGTTTAAAATATAATTTGCTCATTTATAAAAAAAAATATATTAGTTCATCATAAAACTACTTTTAAAAAATAAAATATTAAATTATTTGATAGTTAATAAACACATGTGCAATTAACTTAATTTTTGTGTGCCTGAAAATATAATTATCAAACTAATCTTACACACACACACACACAGACACACCTCAAAAACGTCGTTTGCATTTATTTATATGTATTCGAACTCAAAAGTCAAGACCTCGTGAATTATCACACGACTCTTGACAACACTGGTTCAGATCCTCTTCTGCTCTTCTTTCTCCTCATCCCATTTACATAACAAAATAATGGTTCATATTTAATTATTTTATAAAATAATTATTATAATATCATATAAAAATAAATAAATAAATAAACTGTTAAAATTTGAGATGTACAGTTTATATTGTTATTAAAAAATTTATAAATCAATTTTTTATTTATTTTATTTTAATTATAACAGGTCAAATTTTAACAGTGTAAATTTATTTAATTTTTTTAATATAATATTATACTTTTTTGTATAAAACAATTAAATCTGAATTATTTATTCTTTATCTAATAGCGAAGATGAGATGAGCAGAAAGGATGGGGAGAGGATCTGCTTCCTGATAAGACACATCACACATATAACATTATCTTGTAATTAATACTCGCTCTATTAAAAAATATAAGATATTTTTTAAGAAATTAAATATTAAAAAATATAAGACATTTTTAATTTTTGGAGGTGAAATAATTACCTTTTTTTTAAAGTGCCCTATTGATAATGATTTTATATTTATTATATGGTGTTTAATATGGGTAAATATAAAAAAATAGGGTTAGTTTAAGATAGATAATTACTTTATTAGGGATGAAATTTGATTAAAAATAACTTATATTTTTTAATAGAAGGAGTATATTTTTTTCTTACAGTTTACGTCAGGATTGATCTTCTATTCATCTCCATAAAATAGTCGATGTTTTATAAAAGGATTCAAAATTTCAAATCGAAAAGGTCACCATTAAATTGGAAATCTTTAATTCCTCACTTGATGTATAAGAATACACGCCCCGATAATACTTCATATTCGAAATTAATTGGATCAGGTAAATTGTATTAATTTCAAACGGGATGATGCATTTAAGTTGACAAATTGTAATAAGAAATGCGCCAAATTCCGACTCCAGAAAACGTACCTAAATGTTGTATTCATGAATGTGCATGCTTAAGTAAAGCTAGTCTGTGAATTCCAATGTGACGTGAGTTTAAGTGTTTGTAATTTAATTTGACTTTCATATCACATCGAGAAAACGTCACTTACTATAAAAGTCAACCATTAAAATACCTTCAATACACTTATATTTCCCTTACTGTCTTGACAGTATATGTTCAAGCTCATGTTTTGTATCAGTTACATAGCTGTGGCTTATCTCTTCGTATATTAGGATTCACCTCTAGTTTATATGTCTATCATTTATCCTTTAATTACTCGACAAGGAACTTAATCATGCATTGAAGAGTACTAACAATGCATCATATTGATGGTTATCTAAGCCATTAACAATAACGTCCATCAATAAACATGTATAACAGATGTGCCATGTATGATCAAAGTGATTGTAACTTACTTTCACGGAATTCTATTTCTTTCTTTCCTACCCGCTCCAAACCATTCTTCCATGTCTTCATCATCAGTAAAATAAGACGTTTCTCTATTAGTCTGGTTATCAGAAGACCAGGACTCATCTTCACTATCTGTTGTCATCTCCATAGAGCTTTTGTTCATCTTCAGCATTTCCTTCTTCCATGCTTCTATTTTTTGTGGACTCTTTGACAATTCAGTCTTACCTCCAGCAATTGGAAAATTGTTAAACTGAGAAGTATCATTCCAAGAATAGGACCTTTGACCATTTTCATTCCTGTCTTCCACAAATCTCCAATCACCCGAACCTTGTCTCCTGTTCTTTCTTTCGGTTATGGTAAATGTTTGGCCATTAATGCTACCTTGATTTCTCCCAAAATTTAACTGGTTGCTCTGGCGGTAGCCTTGATCTTCAATTTGTGATTGATGAGAAGAGTCTGAAGCACTTGATGCCTTTGGCCGCCTGTGATCACATTTTAGGCAGACCATGTTTCTCCTGAAATTGAGGTAGTTGCACCTACACAAACAAAATTCAAATTGCCTCAGCACACACAGAAAATGTAAGCAATGAGATAGACAAAAAATCGATGATGTGTAGCATGAACATACGATTCACATTCCCACTCCCCTGGATTTAGCTGCCGCTTTGGAGGTTTCTCTTTGCAAAGGAAACATCTTGTATTCCTAGCGAAATTAATAAAGTTACATCTGCAGAAATGACATTAACGATGTGAGTTAGAAACAGGGATATTATTCATACAAATTCAAACAGTATGCACAGCCATTACTTATCGCAAATCCAGTCTCCCTTCTTCAATGGCAGATGCTCCTGATCATTCTGTAATTGCTTTATTCTTTCTTGAAAAAAGCCGTCACAGCTCAAGCACTTGATATTTCGGGCGAAGTTGAGGAAATTGCATCTAAACAATGAAAGGTACAAAAGAAATGTGAACAAGTGAAGAAAAAAATAATAAGGCATGCCAGAAAAAACTTATGGGATGTAATCAAGCTACTTGGGACAAAGCCAATCTCCTTGCTTCATTGGGACTTTTATATTGCCCTTGTCTTGTGGATTGAGATTAACTCTTTCAGTGGAATTGGAGAGATTAGAACCATCCTCTTTAATGCTGAGCTCCAATAATTCTCGCAGCAGTCTTCTCACTGATTCTTTTATCATTTTATTCAGACATGGTTTGTTCTCAACTGAACCAATAATTGGATCAAGCCCGTAAGTCAAGATTATACGCATTAAATCCACTGTCCTTCCTCCTTCGTCTTCACGTGCCTTCACAAATGCCCTTTCACACTCTCCCCTCAAATTGCAGGCGCTGCACACCTAGTTAAAGCAACAGTTTATGTAAATCTTGGTTATTTATAAAGGGGTCAATAATTAAATTTAGAAAAGAAGAAAAGGCGGGATAATGATGAAACGGGCAAACATCAATATATTCTTGCTCAGCACATACGGTTCCCTCGTCAATTCCCACGTGGGCTCTGAGGCGCTTCCCCGAGTTCACAACTTTCCTGTCTAAGCTCGGGCATCCATCTCCAACAATAACTTGGATATCCTTACGAGACAAGTACCTGATAGCAAAGGCAACCAAAAAAAAAAAAAAAACACTGACTGCCAATTATATCATTCTCATGGAAAGCAAGGGATTAGACAATTCTCGTGTGCACATCATTATTTCCAACCACAGAAATTTGCTCTGGACATGGTAAGCTAATACTCATGTAAATGATACATTATAGTTGATCTGGATTCTGGAAAGGTACAAAGTCCATAGCGTCAAGACAGGGATGAGTTTTAATAAGAAGTCAGTACATTTATTACATGCACTTTCCAATCTTTAAAACTAAAACTTCCCGCTCTCTCTACATTTTTTATTTTTAATTCTTTCTCTCGGCAAGAACAGACATGAAGCAGTCATTCAGAACGTTCGTCCCAGTGACCTAGACTATTGAATGTCATACCATTGTATGGTAAACAAAGCTTTTCTTTCCTGCCCTAAGAACACACATAGGATAAGAAGTCATAGACTAGATATGATAATATACTCCATCATTCAGCAGTCAACGTGACAGTTTTTTCTGCTATCTGTCACAGAGACCTAAACTCAAACACCTTGCCAGCACTCTATATAAGACCAACATACAAAAAACTAGCCACATTAATATGAGAAGCAAATATTTTGAAAACCGAATAAACAGAGAGATCCAAGAGCAAAATAATCTAGATTATATAGGTAATCACAATCTTTCTGAAGCCACAGTAACTTGAATTTTGATAAATAAGCAAACTTTTCCCGAAATTTAGATTCTACAGCTTTAGCAGAAATATAGATTAGATTAAGAGGCACGTACAAATAAACGAGTACCGTTGTCTCAGAAGTATTAAAAAAAAATTAATTCCCAAAGAAGGCAGCTATCCTTACCTCAAAAGATCAAATCGATCCCGACCGAAATTCAAGCACGCGGTCCTAATAATATTTGATTCCCTGGAACCCAATTCACCACTTCTAAATGGGTTTCCATCTGCATCAAAGTAACCTCTCCTCATCAAGCACTCCATCAAGTCCACCCATTCAGGCCAAGGATGTGAGATTTGAACCGCAGATAAGTTTTGTTTCTCGGGAACATCCTTATCGGAGAAATCATCGGAATCTGATGCTGATTGCCATAATGATCCATTCGTCGGTTTTGAAGATTGAAGCTCCTCAACCTCATTCAAGATGTACTCTAGCTTAGAATCTGGAGCCAGAATCTTCGTGAGGCTGTGAAAGAGAGAAATGGGCGAGGAAATTTTGCAGCCCGTGAGGTGATTGTTGAGGTTGGGACTGAAACGCGTGTGAATGCTCCGGAGCATTTCTTGTTCATTCGGAAAAGTTTATCAGTACCTGCGGAATGAGCATGAGCAGGAAAGTTCGGCTGCTCCGTTCATTCTCCCGCTCTTTCAACAACGGTCTGTTCGTCTGTGTGAGTGGAGGTTCAGAGGGGCCTGATAAAATTTGGGGTAATAAATCTGAAACGAGTTTTTAATGTTATTTAATTTGATATACAAGAGCAGAGTATATTTTTGCTGTAAGTAGAAATTGACAAAACATATGGTTGTTGAGGTTTTTTTCCCCATTTATCAACCCTTAAACTTTAAAATATTCGGAACAAATCAGTTTTTATAATTTCTTAATTTGATACAACTAAGTTTCTTTTTAAAAAAAAAAAAAACTGAATTGTAATGATCAATGAGTTAAAAACTTACAATTTAAAAACTAAATGGATAATTAAAAAAAATTTAAGGACTAAAAATTAGGGAGAATTTCATTATAAGATCACTAATAGCACATTATATCACATTACTTTTGTAATATTTGAATCACATACACATAATTTTCTTAATTTTTAAAACTTTAAAATGAATCTCCCTCAACTTTTATATTTATACACATGATTTTATATGATTAATGTTATATATTAATTATCTATATATAACTTAAAGTTTAAGGGTTATTCGTATATTAATCAAAGTTTGAAATTTAAATGCACACAAAAATAAAATTTAAGAGGTATATAGTTAATGGTCAAGGATTATTTGCATAAACCAAAAAGTTTAAAAAAGTTTATTACTAAATTTTAGAAGTTAATGGGGTTATTTATACGTGGTTCAAAGTTTAGAGACATAATTTAGCTTTATATCAAATTAGGATCAAAGAATTAAGAAAACCCACAGTAAGATGAAGAGATTTAATTGAAAATATATTTTGAAGAAAAATGACAATAATACACTTTATGGTTTTAACAAGTGAAATTAGGGTTTTAATAAATTACTAAAATTAAATATGTAGGTGATACTATCAATAAGTTTCATTAATAAATTAACAAGTATCATTAATAAAATAACAAGTTAAATTAAGATTTAATAAGTTATCATAATTGAATATATAGAGTTTCGATTTTGAATTAACAAATAACATTAATAAATTAATAAGTAAAATTAAAGTTTTAAATAAGTCATCAAGATTGAGTATAGAAAGAACATTATTAACAAGTTTAGCTAATAAATTAACAAGTAGCATTAGTAAGATAACAAATAATATTATTAAAAAAATTACTTGTTAATAACTAATAAAAGGCATTACACTCATTTCTCTTCAAAACTATTTTCAATTTAATTCCTTAATTTTGCAGTAAATTTTCAAAACTTTTTGGTTCTAGTTTGATAAAATATCTTGTTAGTAAAATTCTCTATAAAAAATTATATCAATTCTAAATTTTATTATTTAATTAATTATTGTTTAAAAAAATGACAATAACATTTATTTAAAATATATAAATGATAATTTGATCTCTTAAAATATAATAATATTTTTAATTTTAAAATTTTTTTATTATTAATAAATTTATATAAATTATTAAATTATCTTTATTAAAAATAAATAATTTAAATTTTTTTTAAATTATAATTTTTTTTATATTTTTAATAATGTAAGAGCATATCACAACTTTGCACGTTAATTTTTTATTTTTTACTATATTGTTATGAATTTAAAAATAAAATTTATAAAAATTTTAAGAGAATTATAATATTTTAAAAAATTAAATTATTATTTATACATTTTTAAAAAAATTATTGTTATTTTTTTTGTTTTTCTCGACCGATGCCAAATTCTTGCTGAAAGTTAATTACAACACAGCCCCGATAAAACACAGCCTTGCTAGTAGCGGATTCATTTCTGTTCGTCTGCGAACAAGCATTCCACACCCCGTCGGACGCCGTCCGCCGTTGTCAGCGTTGTTCTCGGGCAAGCAGCGAAGAAGGTTCGAACCTAGGGCTTTCTCTGCTCCCAAAAGCTGGTTAGATTGGTTTGTTTAGTCTGGATTTGAATCTAGATTTGAATTTGTTCCCCGGGTCATCTGTTCCCTGGGTGGTTGCTGCTGCTTTGTTTGAAATTTTTCATTTTAATTTGGATTTGAATCTGGTCGTGTAATCCTTTGAATATTGAGGCATTTGAATTTGGGATATTGACAGATTGAGTTTAATTTTTTGTTTTGCTAGTTTTTGCTTGAATAGTGTGTAATTGGCTATTATACGTCTTCCCTCTTCATTTTGATTACTAGCGACTCTGTGTTATTCTGCAATGTTGGATTTGTTGTGTATTGGCCTTCTGTTTATTAATCTTTTCATATTATAATCAATTTAGAACATTCTCAAGATATTTGTGGTGTATTATCTTGTCAATGATTTGGCTCGAGTTGTGTCAAAGTATGTGGAACAATACATATCAGCTGTGCATATTTCAAAGATTTCCAGTTTCCCTGATGTTATCTATAAATTCTTATGGATTTGATTAAAAAAAATTGACATTTTTCTTTCTCTGTCTTCACTCTTAAATGGCATACTAGCCCTGCGTAACAACAGAAATGGCAGTGAGATTCGCTATGCTTAAAAACACCGGAAGGAAAATGGTTAACATGCTAGGAATCAAAAGGTGGACCCATTCCAATGCCCAACCACCGCCTTTAGCTGGAATTATTAACCATGAGGTTTCTTCACCTCAATTTGTTTTGCCTGAGTTTAGTTTCCCAAGTTTCTCTTTTGCTGGATCTATGGAGCTTATGGCTGTCCCAAAAAAGAAGGTACCTTTTCAACTTATGTTTTTTTCTTCATGATTGACATTTTTTTTTAATGTGAAATTGATGAGAGTGCCTTAATTTCCATGATGTTCCGTTATTTCTTTTTTGGACTTAAATTTCTTTTTCATGGATTTGTATATCATGTAGGTTTCTCCTCATAAAAGAGGAATAAGAAATGGACCAAAAGCTTTAAAACCTATTCCGGTAATAGTCCGATGCAGGTAAGCTTTAGGCTTTTACTTCACTAGTGCTATCTGAGCTGTGGATGCTGTGGTTTATGACTTTGGAAATATGCCATCATTCTCATCATTAAATATAGAAAATTATCTGGATGCTGCATATGTGTTTTTATGCTGTTTCTAAAATAGTTTCATTTGGGTATGATGCTTCTTCTGAATTACTTAATCTTGCCTGGACTTGACCCTATATGTTGCTATGAACCATAGTTCTAGGGTGTGTTTGGTTGGGCTGAAAATTATCAGGTAGAAAATGTGTAGTGAAAATGAAATTTATGCTTTATTTGTAAAATTTTGCAATTCATTCTGAGCAAGCTCTGAGGAATGAAAATCAATCTCCAAGGGGCTGGCCTGACAGTAAGTCAGTAATGACTATGCAGTATGCACCGTGGAATGAAAATCATTATTTGGAAGTTTATTTCACGATTGAATGAAAGGGCAAAGGAGGGAGTCCAAGACTCTCCGCCATCTAATTTTCAAATCTTTTTGTCCCTCTAAATTGGAGGTTTTGGGTTGGAGTAGGCTGAATATATGCTACATGTACATCAAAACAAAGTTACCATAAATCATGAAATGCTATGGTTCTTATATGTGATTTCTTTACAACAAGTCTATCCAATTTGATGAGGTCGGCTACAAGCCCTAAATATGATTTCTTTATTCACTCTATTTATTTAGAAGTAATTCACCAGATTTTGCACTATGTAAGTTCTAAAATTTTGTTCTTGTTGCAAGCCATTTCATTCTATAAATGATACTGTCTCATTCCCCTTTAAACTTTCAAACAATAGAATGACATACAATCTGTTGTTCTACTCCTTTTCATTTCATTCCATTTCACACCTTGATAAATTCCTGAACGTAGCTTTAAGCATTTGTGAGAGGTTTGGTCCGCAGAAATTGCTAATGCAATTGTTGATCTACTTATGATGAATAAAAGACCAATAAATAAAGGGCGTGATGTGTGTTTTTCTGATTCAGATGCGAATAATTCGTTACTCTTTTTTCCCCCCCTTTTTTGCAGAAGTTGTGGCCGCGTCAAGCTCCCACACTTCTTCTGTTGCAGTGGGAATAGGAGTAATAGTGGTGACCAAAATGGTTCAGCCAATTGATCACTACTTTTGAAGCATAGTATCACGGTCTTAGAACTTCTCCAACCAGTTGCTAAACTAACCAAAGCCAAGCTTGACTTCTCTCCTGCTCCAGTCTCTCTTCTTTTCTTGTTCCGTCTATAGATTGTTCAAATTAGATTTCAAATTAATGTCATTTTTATGGGAAGGATTTTTATGATAGAACTTGTTACGCTAATGGATGCCTTATGCAAGAGATTTTGTTCCTTTGACTTGTTGCGAGATTGATAATTGATGGCAGCTAGAAAGATGATAATTTGGCCCAAACTAGAACTTGGCTCCATGTTGGTTAAAATTGAGGGAGAATCTTTTGAAGTGGTAATGTTTAGAAGGATAAACTTCAATCGGGATAGGATCCCAATATTGATATAAGGGTTTGAATTGTTATTATTATTATTATTATTTTTTGTATGCAGGAAAAAAGTTACAGTAAATTAAACTATATAGAGAGAGTTATGTTGTGCTAAAGTCCTTTGGTCTAGGCAAGTGTGGTCCAACCCAAGACAATTTGGTCCTGTCTGGCTCGAATAAAAACTAGTCTTTTAGGATTAAAAATATCAAACTCTTTCTTCGGATTAAACTAGATAGAAGACTGAGCATTTAGACCATTTGGTCCAATTTTATAAATTTATTTACTATAATTATAATTAATTTATTAATTATTATTATAATAAGTTAATTTATAATAGTAATTAGTTTTTTTTTTGTGTTTTATACTTATGACGTCATAAATATTGAGGAAAATTCTAGCATTGATCAATCTCAATTTTCTTTTATTGATAAAATTTGTTGTCAACTTGGTATGATGGACTTTAATCATGTTGAAGATGTTTAATTTAATTTAAATCCTTTATATTATAATTGAAATATTTTTTGCTATTGTTGGAGATTCTTGTGGATTTATAATTGTTGTTGTTGTGATAAATTTTATATGATTATACGTAATTTTTTTTATGTTAATTGAGTTTATTATGTTGAAATAAATTGCTACCTCTCATAGATGAAAAAGCAAAAAAAAAATGAAATATTGGATAAGATCAGGATTGGTCTCCTAATCATACTGGATTAGTCCAATCTTGTTTGGCTTTGAATTATATCAGGATCAAATCAAATCATAGGTTGCCTAACTCAATTTTTTTTATGAAAAGGACCAAACTTCAAGTTAGCTTGAAATCACGTTAGCGCTTTATGCAACCCTACTTAATTGTATTTTTTTGCATGAATTAGTTGTATTATTTTTAACTATACTTTTTTCTTTTGGGAAAATGAAAATAAAATTTTTTCAAATTATATAAATAACAATTTGATTTCTTAAAATGTGATAATTTTACTAAAGTTTTTAAGGATTTTTATGTCAATAAGTTTTAAAATGAAAAGACTATTTTGCCCTTATTAAAAATGACAATCTTCAATCATAATTTTTGTTTAAGAAATAATAATTTTTATTTTATGAATTGTAAGAATTGAATAAAAAATTATGACTTGTCAAGTGTAATTTTTGTTATTTAAAAAATAAGTTTTTAAAATAATAAGTTTCAATTACAACATTTGTTTTGTAAATTATAAAAATTGAAGTAGAAATTACAACTTATTAAATATAATTTTTGTTATTGAAAAAGAAGTTTTAATTATAATTTTTATTTAAGAAATAATAATTTTTATTTAAAGAATTATAAGAATTAAATAAGAAATCATAACTTGTTAATGAGAGTAAATTTTTTTAAATTTAAAAATTATTGATACAGAAGTTCTCAATAAAATTATAATATTTTAAAAAATTATATTATTATTTATATAATTTAAAAAATTTTATGATATTTTTTTTCTTTTACAATAATCCTTTGATATTAGCAGTTAATCCATTCAAGAATTGTTGGATTCTATACGTATGATTTTTCTATTCAAAGGCCTGGTATTTAATCCTTAAAATCAAGACGACATGCACGATAACTTTATAATTGATTTCTTCCGACAGTGACTTCGTGGATCTTTGTTTTTATTAGTAAACTTCGACTGTTTTATTTATCTTTATTTTATTGCAGATTTTGTGCACTGGATCCTCCAGTGGCCTTCTGGTGATCACTCATATGAGTATGCCAGCACGCTGCGGGTTCGAATCCCAGTATTGCGGCTTTCTGACTCTGTGTGTGTGTACACGTGTGTGTGTACATATATATATGTATATATGTTCTCAACTATGAGGTACTTCAAAGTACCTCTCTTTTGGGCCAGTTAGTGTGACTAAGTGGGCTGAAAATATTAACCTTAACAAATTTATTCTTTTAACATTATCCTCATCTAACTTAAAATAGTCACTCAAGTAATTTAGTTCTTGAATTATTAACTTGCATAAAACTTGGTTTTTAAAATTTTTTCACCATTAATAAACTTTGTCCTTGTCCATAAACTTTATCCTTGTCCTCCGTGAATTATTTGCCACGTCAAATTTTATACCTATGCAAGTGCCACATCATATAATCAATCAATAAAAAATGAAATTAAACTAACTTTTTTTATAAATGGTAAAAAAAGAAACCATTTATCTTCATGGAGCGTCTTCTCCTCCATTTCCTTGCATCTTCTCCATCTTTGTCTTCTTGTTCAGATTTCCAAAATCCCACCACGGGACGCTCATGAAGCTTCTCACATGTGGTGACAAATTGATTAATATATTTTATGGATTGTGAATTAGTGTCAATGTGAACCTCACGTTACTATCTTTCCCTCAGCTTTCTTCCCGGATGAGCCTACATCCGTTTTCTTCTTCCTCCGCCCTCTACCGCATGCAGTATTTTTTTTCCCCCAATTTCATTGAAAAAGCCACATGGAGCTTTGTTGGAAGCTCAGGTCAGGAATTTTAAACATTTTTGTTAACCATTTTTGTCATATAGGATGACTCCAAGATGAGTTTTGCTGGATGACAAAAATAAAATTATAAAATGATGAAAACATCAGGGACTGACCGATTTACACTAGTTTGTAATTGATGAATTGAGTTTTAAATCAGTTAATATTTGAAAAACCAAACTTAAAGATCAATTTTCCCTTTTTTTTTATTACAAGATAAACATTACTTTTCTTTCTTTGCTGTTGGTTCTTTTTTTTTTTTCCCCTGCCAAGTAATCTAACATTCAAATCAACATATTTATTTTGATATAACTAGAATTCATTAAATTTTTGGCCAAGAACTATTTATATTTTTATGGAATGCGTATAAACTCTAAAGTCCTATTCATTTATTAAAAAAGAATGAAACGGAATGAATTAAAAAAAATAATATAAAAATAAAATAAATTATAATTTTTTTATAGTAAGCATAATAAAACTCATTAATATATATTACAAATGTAAAAAACATCACACTTTTAAAATTTTTATGAATTATGATTTTTAACTCATGATTTAAATTATTCCCTTCCTTTATAAATATGGTTTATTAATTTTTTTTTTTGATCATATCATTTTTACCTTTATTTTTTCAATCAGTTTTATTCTATTTTTTTAATAACCAAATGTTAACTAAATAAAAAATGGGGTGCAGCTAATAATTTATAAATGACTATAAATTTCATTTACACACACATATGGATTTGATAATATCTTGTGCATATAACTTAGGAATCAATAGATGAAATTATTTGAAAATTATGTAAAAATAGTGACTTGAATAGGTAGATCAACAACTTGGATGTTTATGAACAAGCATCGAAACAGTGTAAAGGGGAAGTTCGAAATGTTTGGGTAGTATATTTCTGATTATGTATATTATTCTTTGGTGGCATGAGCACAGGCTTCACCTGTGACCTTCTGGTTCTAACCTCACTGAGCTAAGACCAGCTGGTTACGGGATCGAATCCATGGTACAGCTTGATGGATATATGTGTATGTATGAATGATGATGATGATGTTCCCATCCCATCCATGAGGTGCTCTAAAGTACCTCTCTTTTTGGGCTCCACTTCAGATTATTATTATTTTGAAAATATCTGTAGATGGAGAAAGGTAAAAACAATAGAGAGAGAAAAGAAAGCTGGTTTGACGTGCATTTTTTTTTGTGTTTTATCTACCTTTTATTTGAGACCACAAGCACTGCTCGCCTCAGTGGCTTTCTGGTGATTACTCACTGAGTATGCCAGCGTGTCACGGGTTCAATTCCCAGTACGTCGTCTGCTTCTGTGTTTGTGCATGCAAACACACACACACACATGCATATGTATTCCCTATCATGAGGTACTCCAAAGTACCTCCCTTTTGAACAGTAATTAGACGACTTTATCTCGGTAGGCAAGGCGAATTTTTTTTTTTTGGATGATAGACGATTCTTTATATATATATATATGTACACACACACATATTGTTAAATTTAAATGGTTTACTTATTATTGAAAAAATGACAGACAAATACGTTAAAATTGTAAATGCCAAATAGATCATGCAAAATGTGATAATTTTTTCAACTCATTTAAAACTTTTATGACATTAATATCTCCGGTGAAATAATTATAATAACTTTAATTTAAAATATTAGTGATGGTTAGTTTTTTTTTTTATAGCAATATGAGTAAAGCAGGTTAACGAATAATATAAGTTTCGTTTTGTATATTTTTTAATCACTAAAACCTAAGTGTTATAAATATTAGTGATTACTTTAGTTTAAATAATGACTACTTTTCTGTTAGCAATAACTAAAATAAAATAAGTAATTAAAATTTTCTCCCAACAATTTTTAATTTTAATCACTGAAGTTTAATTATTATAAATATCAGTGACTATTTTAATTTAAGTAGTGACTACTTTTCTTTTAAAAATAACTAGAACAGAATAACAAATGATAAGTTTTATTCTGCAAATTTTTTAATTACTAATCCATTTCTTTTTTTTTTAGTTTAAATTGAGGGCATTATATTTTTTTGATCTGAATTTTGAGGACATCTATAGTTATTTCATAAAAGACAATGTCAGAGAAATCTCAAGAGACTTGAGAAAAATTATCACATTTTATATAACTTTATTGTCATTTGTATTTTTTAGGTGGATTAATTTTTCTGTCATTTCTCCTTGATAGCAAAATCTATTTTTGCATTGAATAAAAAAAGCAACGTTTATTCATAGAAGTTGATGGCATATATATACATATATATCAGAAAATCAAAAAAGAAACCGAATGAGAAAAACAAAAGATGAAACTGAGAACCTATTTTGTATACGTATC